CACCATCTCTAAAAAAAATAATTTCAACTAACCAATCAGAAATCTTTTACAAGGACAAGCCAAGGAGAAGTGAGTGGCCTTTTCAAAGCAGATCTCTAGATGTGTATATAAACAGATGGAAAATCAAATAGAATTGATATATAAATGTTGTCCATTCTCTGATGCTGTAGTCATCATGACATATCTAGAGATAAAATACAACATTTGCATTACTAGCTAGCAACCTTGTTTAAAGACACATCAACACATTATAGTTCATTTAATGTCAAAATTTAATTTTCTAGGGAGCTGTGAAGTAATAAAAATATTATGTTATTCTGCTTTCACAACTGAATACATGGTAGATGATACTCAGCTTTTCTTCAAATACATATTTGTATTGACATAATTACTCAAGCCAGTGTCTATATGTTTTATGTTATATTTTTGAATACAGTTTAATTTGTTTAAGAAATAGTAGGTTATTATATGGATTAATGTCAGGAAAGAGTTCTTTTATGTTGGTTGTTTGATTGATTTTGTTTAGTGACACCTCAACCTCTATGGGTTATTTAATGCTGAAATCTAAATATTTTGAGCAATTTTATGGCTTCAACTAAATATATTTTTAACACAATTGTATGCCTTTAACTATAGATAAAATGTATGGTTGGTAATTTTACTATAAATATGTATTGTTAGTCATTTTTTCATATAAATATATAGTGCTAGTACTTTTTATTATAAAAATATATTTTCATACTTTCATAGTGTTTTGTTTTTTTGGAGGGTTCACTATTTGCTCATAGGTAGGACCCTAACTTGAGCTACCACCCACCAGTCAGGGTGGAGCTGGGAATAATAGCAATTAAGTGGTTTCATGCTCCTCAAAACCCCCAAACTTCTGATCAGAGGCCTTGATGCCAGATGTAGTTTGTCAGGATTCATTAGAATCGAGCCAAAAATAACCTAACCCTAAAGGGGTCTTTTCCGGGATTCATTAGAATTGAGCCGGGAAAAACCCAACCCTAAAGGGATCTTTTTTGGGATTCATTAGAATCAAGCCGATAAAAAACCCAACCCTAAAGGGATCTTTTTTGGGATTCATTAGAATCAAGCCGAGAAAAACCCAACCCTAAAGGGATCTTTTTTGGGATTCATTAGAATCAAGCCGAGAAAAACCCAACCCTAAAGGGATCATTTTTGGGATTCATTAGAATCAAGCCAAGAAAAACCCAACCCTAAAGGGATCTTTTTCGGGATTCATTAGAATCAAGCCGAGAAAAACCCAACCCTAAAGTGATCTTTTTCAGGATTCATTAGAATCAAGCCAAGAAAAACCCAACCCTAAAGGGATCTTTTTCAGGATTTATTAGAATCAAGCCAAGAAAAACCCAACCCTAAAGTGATCTTTTTTGGGATTCATTAGAATCAAGCTGAAAAAAACCCAACCCTAAAGTGATCTTTTTTGGGATTCATTACAATCAAGCTGAGAAAAACCCAACCCTAAAGTGATCTTTTTTGGGATTCATTAGAATCAAGCTGAGAAAAAACCCAACCCTAAAGGGTGTCCAAGCAGCAACTGAGAAAGCTCAAAAAAAAAAAAAAAAGAAAGAAAGAAAGTTCCTTGAAAGAATGCACTGGTGGTGGTTTACAGTAAAATCCACTGACGCAGGCTCTGAAATGGACTGTTTTCTTTCTTGGTGACTCCAAGAACCTTCTGTTAGAGAAGAAATCAACTGCCAAGCTCTGGTTATCTAGATTTTTGGAGGTGCAACCATATACTGTGGTATCATCTACAGAGATATTCACAAGGGATCGGGAGTATGCTCTGAGGCAGATCATTAATATAAAGCAGGAAGAGGGTTGGATTGTGAAGTGGAATCTTGGGGGACAACTGCATTGATGTCATAGGCCTTGGAAGACTGGTTATCAACAACTACCTTCATAGACCTACCTGTTAGGAAGGAGTTGATAATCGAGAAAATGTATTCATGTATTCACATGCTAAATGCCCATCCTGGATATGATGATAAATTACAACGGGCAGCAAGGCCTCTGATCGAGGTTTTGAGAATTGCTGTTGTTCCCAGGTCTACCATGACCTGGGGTGGTAGCACCTGTTAGAGTCCCAGTTATGGGCAAATAGTTAACCCCCCAAACTAGGGTCAATAAAACAATGAAAGTATAATAAATGTTATAGTAAAAATACCAGCAATACATTTTTTGTAAAAAATAAATTTCTTTTTTCAGCAATGCATTACTGTAAAGAAAAAAAAAAAAAATTACCAGAAATACATTTTTTGTAAAAGAAATTACTAATACACTCAAGAAAATTAAATTTCGGCATTAAATGACCCGTAAGGAGTTGTGATGCCACTAAACAAGTAAACATGCTAAAAGCACTATGTAAATTTTTGCTATTTGCTTACTTCTTGTCGAGGCTTTTATTTGCTGTGTCACTATAAATGTATAAAATAATCAACACTGAAAAAGAACTTGGATTTATTAAAAAAAACAAATCCGAGTTCTTTTTTAGTGTTGATTGTTTTATATTCATGTACAAATGCTACTGATTAACCAAGGGAAATAACTCAAAAAATGAATCAACTTAGTGTGACACAAAAGATATAAATAAATACATGAGGGTAATTATTAGTAGTTTCATGATTTAATCCATGAGTTCCCATGCTAAATACATTATGTAAATTTTTAGCATCTACTTACTTCCTGTCAATGCTTTTATTATTTGCTGTGTCAATATATAGTCATCAGAATAAATAAAATATCTTATATATATTTTTTTAATAATAAGTCCTAGTTGTGATTTAGTGAGTTACACTTCAGATGTATAAAATGTACTGAAAGGAAACTGAATTCCAAAAGGTTGGAAGAAATGCTTACTCATCTCTTCGAGGCATCAGACTATGAAGAAATTGGCAGCTGAATGATGACACTGGGGCGCACACAGCAGTTGGAGTGTTGATCATCTGGAAATAAACGCATAAAAATATGGGAAATGTTATCAGCTGATTTTATCATTTATTTCAATTTAGTTGAGTCACAAATAATTTCCATTTTGTTTATTAGGTTGAGTCAAAAAGAAGTCCCCTTTTTCGTTTACTGGGTAAGCCACAAATAATTTCCATTTTGTTTATTAGGTTGAGTCATAAAGAAGTCCCCTTTTTTGTTTATTTGGGTAAGCCACAAATAATTTCAATTTTGTTTATTAGGTTGAGTCATAAAGAAGTCCCCTTTTTCGTTTATTTGGGTAAGCCACAAATAATTTCCATTTTGTTTATTAGGTTGAGTCATAAAGAAGTCCCCTTTTTCATTTATTTGGGTAAGCCACAAATAATTTTCATTTTGTTTATTAGGTTGAGTCATAAAGAAGTCCCCTTTTTCATTTATTTGGGGAAGCCATAAATAATTTTCATTTTGTTTATTAGGTTGAGTCATAAAGAAGTCCCCTTTTTCGTTTATTTGGGTAAGCCATAAATAATTTCCTATATTCTTAATTTTAGTTGATCCATAAATATTTTCCCACAATTTATTTATCATAAATAATTTCACATTTAGTTTATTGGAGTCATTATTTATATTTTTTATCATGTCTTGGTTTTTTTTTTTAATAATGTGTTTATAATCTAACCAATTTCATTTAGATTCCTTTTCTTCTTGTTTCCATCATCTTTGTCATCTGATATTGTGATAATAAAAGTGATAACAGCTAGATCCACAGTTAATTTGCGTCCAGCTTCACATAACATCTCATCATTCTTGGCAGATCTTCTATGATCACAATGTGAGATATTTAATAACGAAGATGATGAAAAAAAAAAGAATCTAAATGAAATCAGATAATTAATATACCTGCTATATATTGTACCTATGAACACTAATGGGTATGTTCCAATCCTCATAAATACGTTGGACACTATTGTAAGTGGAAGGGTGATATGCTGTCTAAGTAGTCCACCACTAGCAGTGGTTTACCTACTTCATGCTGCTGGCGAGTATTGTATTTTGTTGATGTTATAAAGATTACCATTTCATTTCTAACCTCTGTTTTGGTTATTCCTCACTCAGTAACCTTTTCTAGGTTACGACAATACCTGAAACACCTTATTAAAAAACCAAAACCCAAAACACATTATTAAAAAAAATAAAAATAAAAATAAAAACACATTAAAAAAATATTTTCAAAATTTAAAATTCAGTGTTTCTTGTTCATGCACATGAAGTTACATCAATGTAAACAAACTTAGTCCATATGAGGTCCGAAGAGGACAAAATGTGTCACACAAAAAACTTTTTCATGCATATTCCCTCCAAAACTGTTTTTGAGATATATATATATATATATATATATATATATATATATAAACTCTGTAAAACTCTAACCTGGCAAGTTGAACATTTAATTTTAATTTTTTTGCTATTAATGCTCTCTTGATATTGAGCACTTATTCTTGTTATCCTCCAGATTATATATATATATATATATATATATATATATATATATATATAATACACACACACACACACACTTAGTCCCCCCATATTTGCAGGGGTTAGGGATCAGAAGTGGATATGAATAGTTAGGATCTTCGAATACTTGTACCCCCACCAAAAAAAAGTGCTTATAAGTACCTATTTTGATTGTTAAACCCCCATATGTCTTAAACCCAAATAGGTGGGGTCTAATGATTATATATATATATATATATAAAAAGAATTTTACTTTTTTAATCTGATATATTTTTACTGCTTCAAATGTTATTTTTAGTGGATATCTGTGCTTGAGTAGATGCACCATTTATTTTAACAGTATTTATTTTGTTTACCACTCTGCATAATTGAGAAAACTTCATAAAGAGAATGTGCCCTCAGCAGGATTTGCAAGAGGAATCACTGTCTTGTCTGGCATCGGCTATGAAGAGTATCACAATGAAGGAAAGTTTTTACTTTGCCTTTAAAGCACATTCACTTGTTTAGATTTTCCTTGAAACAAATCTCTGCTCTAAAACGTAAACAAAGCAATTTCTAAAGAATTAATGGATTTTATTTTTTAATCCAACTTATTTTTACTACCTTAAACATTATTTTTAGTGGATACCCATATTTGTACAATTCATTTTATTAGTGGATACCCGTATAATCGGTGTGTTTTTCTGCGAAGGGGATGTTTGTTTAGATCCTGCCAAAGGGTACATTTTCCTCATTAAGTTTTCTTGAGTATGCAAACCAGTAGACAAAATAAATACTGTTTAAAATAAATTAAACCACTACTCAAATACGGGTATCCACTAAAAATAATGCTTGAAGTTATATATTTTATATAAAAGGGAGTATCAGAAATACTTTTACAAGTTTTGGGGGCTGGTCCGTCACACCAAAACAAGGACAAATGTCCATACAAACATATGTTGCAAATCCTTCGTTTTTGAGTTATTAAGTTTAAGGGAAGTTAGGGTACATGGCGCTGTGTTGCTGTGTAGACTAGGTTACATTTGTCATTCGTGCACATTTGTGACTAGTCTGTTTTCAGCGTTTAACGTGTGTAATAGTGAGTTAACTGAGAAGTGTTTCGTTTAACAATGGCTCGATATTCATATTGTGAGAAGGTAAATTTTTGTATACAATTGCACAAATGCGAGGCTGTATGGCTGTATCGGATTGTGTTTTCAGACTGAAGGCAGTCGAGTTATCCAACTTTTTTGTTTATTGTTGCATTGCTGAGACTATGGATCAAGGAAGACCAAGATCTGCGGGTATCCCTGACAAATGAAGAACACATTTTACAGGCTGTCGAAGATGATCCATGTATCAGCACACGTCAAATGGCCCTAGAATGTCGTACATCTCATAGTACTGTATGGAGGGTACTTCAAGAGCAAGCTCCTGTACCCATATCTTTTGTAACATGTGCAGGGTCTTTCACCCGCTGATCACTCACCATGGAAGAACTTTTGCCAATGATTTATTGCAGAAACTGATGTTTGTCTCTTCAGGCTTGTTTACAGATGTGGCAACATTTGGAAGAGACAGAATAACAAATTTACACAACCAACATTTGTGGGTGGACCAGAATCCCCATTGTACAATACAGGTTAGACGACACCAGCATCAGTTTATAATTAATGCATGAACTTGCCCTTGTTTTGGTGTGAGGAAACTGCCCCCCAATGTTTGTAGAAGTATTTTGATACACCATATATATATATATATATATATATATATTAGATATAGGAGTAATTGGCCATACTTAAGTGCAAATTCTCATCAATTGGGATTGAAAAAGTATAAAATATAGACTGCGCCCACCATTATAATAATCCAATATATTTAACATATTTAAATTATGTAACAGTCAGTCTCAATCCAGCACCTGAAGATTGTGTTGTGCATGAAACTCAGAGTTGTGCTACTGGTGAGGAAAAATATGTACATCTATTAATAAATAACTTATAGCTCTGTTATATTACATCGAGCACTATTTTATTAACACCAGCACTATGTCTAATATATATATTTATATATATATATATATATATGAAGAAATATAGTTTTAAGATGTGCTATATTTATGGGCTAAAGTGCTCAATATCAGAGATAGAGCATATGTAAATATAAAATTGAACATTGAAGTCAACACTCAACTAGCATGAAACAGTGTCGCCTCTGAGTGTTGACTTCAATGTTCACTTTATATATATATATATATATAAAATGGAAGTGAAAACTAGGCAAAGCAATGCAATAGTAATATAAGGCAAAAATTTCATAAAGTACGTACTGTGTTCATACATGAGGGGGATACAGTCAAGTGGTTATAGCATTCTGTCCATTATTATTGGTTAGGAAGAAATCTACAGGATTTGTCTATAAATTTAGGGAGGAGATTTTTTTAACAGTCAACAACCAACAGTGTGTGTGCATGTGTGTGGACAGTTGGATAGTGAGAGAGAGTGGAAGTATTTGTGTGTGTTGGCCATAAGGACTCACCTCCATCAACAATGGTGAAGAATTCTTGGGCAAATTCGGCACCGATGTATCCATTGGTTCAAGCTCTTGTTCCACTTTCCTTCGTTTACCAATAACCATACTAAAAACATCCACAGGAAGATTTTTAGCAATCACAGACTGAAAAACAAAAGGAAGAGAAAAAAATGTACATTTCACCAGTTTTAATTTTATCACAGATTGTTAAAATGATCACTCAAGGGAAAAAAAAATTGGCACTTAGCTTTTTATCACTCACAGTTTCTAGCCAATGTAGAAAACTTGTTTTGTTGAACATGAAGATCACCTCATCAAAAACAAAAGAGGATCAAAAAGATTTCCAACTTTGAATTTTGTTAGCAATATTTCTCATCCATTAAAAATATACATCATAAATGTATTAATATTTCTCATCCAATAAAAATATACATCATAAATGTATTAATATTTCTCATCCAATAAAAATATACATCATAAATGTATTAATATTTCTCATCCAATTAGAATGCCAATTAAGAAATTCTTAAAAATGTCCGCTTTCAATCAATTTTTCTATAGACTTATCAATCACCAGATCACAGAAGTGTTTGAGAAATTCACACAAATACATACACACATAACATGATATGAAAATAATTGCCAAACAAACTAAATATTTACTGCATATTTTCTGTGAAATTTTTGGGGATTTTTTTTTTATCAATGAATCAGAAAAAAATTACATGTTGCAGATAGCACTTCTAACAACACAAAATTCATAATCCTACCCTCTTTTTATGGGGTGCCTGGGTGAAGGAAAGCAACAACAAACTCAAGGGCTACCTGCCACCGCCTAAAGGTAAATGTCAGTCAGCTCTATACACGGGCCAAAAGACAAACATTGGTTGGTGCTATACCATAGTTAAAGAAAGGTGCATATTTGTTTTATACTCGAGTTAACAAGTATCTTCTTGGAAAGTGACTATGCCTTGCTTGGGGATGTAGTTAGCCTATTCTGGGTCATACCAACAAGACAGTCATTCTAAGAAGAACCATAAATATAGTTTCTTTAGTTGTTGCTTCTGATCTGTTTTATCAAGAAAAACATGTCACTGTACAAATTAAATTTTTCTCATTTGCAAAAATATTTTTTGGTAGTTAGACCCAAATTGCAACAAGTAAAAATTGTTCAGTGTTTGATGAAATACAAACTTGTTAGACTAATAAAAAAACAAAACAAAATAAAACAAAAACAGACACACAGTCACTTACTGTGCTTGGTCGTTTCAAGCTAATGTGGTCGTCTGCATTTTCCTCAATGGTCAAAAGTTCTTGGCTTTTGTTCATAAAGTAAAGCTGAGATTTTGTCTGCCATTGCAACTGAGGTGGCAAGTCTGTTTTATGTGAAGGGTGAGGAATAAAGGCTGCATAGAAAACGCATTCCTCTGAGACTGAGGCTTTTTGGTAAACTGGCTTTGCTTCATCAGGTCGGAAGACAAATACTGAAAAAAAAAAGAAAAGAAAAGTTTTATGCTCATTCAACAACTACTCTTCTATCTAGTTTCACAAAACTAAACATCTACATGAAAATGCATTTGTATTTGCACATATGGGTTGAGGTTAATGGAACTTTTTGTAATTTGATGAGAAGCTACTCTTCTTTCTGATGAACTTATTAAAAAAAAAATATCTTTCAAAATGTACACCTGAAGAAAGCTAAAGAATGGATGGACTGAAACATCATTGTAACAATAAAAAATAAAAAGAATGAGATCATAAATTTGAACAACTCTTGGAATGACTCATCTCAAAAGGATAGAAGGTATCACCCATACTGATTGTACAGAAAGATCGATCAATTTGTTTTTTATGGCTTATCAACCCTTTGCAGGTTATTTACAACCAGAAAATATTTTTAGACTGTAACATTTTTTTGAGATAATAATGATTCAGTGATATAAGTCTAATTAACCCATAGCTGGGGGAGAGAAGAGGTGAACTCATACCTAGTCAGAATTTGATAAGAAATTTTAATGTGGATATAAAGTGGGGGATCAATTCTATGTTACAATCAATATATAAACCGATCCTTCACTTTGTGGTCACTGTAGTTTCTATATATTTATATTCCAAAGAATGTAAATAAATCTAAAAGACATGCCTGTGTAGCTAATCAGTATTTCATTGAGTGATTTTTTATGGCTTATCAACCCTTTGCAGAAAGTGATACAAGTCTTACTAATTAATTAACCCATAGCTAGGGGTGGGAGAAGTGAATTTATATCTATCCCAAAGGTATTCATGCATAAGTGAATATAACGAACTGAATTGGAACTCAGCTCACCAATTAACAATTCTGAGCCATTATCCATTACACTACCCACACATCAAAGCTTACAGCACCTGGCTGTACAGGAAGAAGGCCAGAGAATAGATTGGCTGAAACATTGTAGTTGTGACAAAAGCAGTAAAAAGAAAGAGATCAATAGTCCTAAAAATTATTGTAATGGTACCGACACATTTCAAAAAGGTGTTTATTATACTGACTGTACGCGTAAAGAGAGAAAAGGTTGAGGGTTGACAGACAATTAGTTGAACAACTCTTGAAATGATTAATATCTTCATTAAAATTTGAACCAAAATTCATTTTAATTGGAGGAGAAAAATTCAAAAACATTAGACAGATAGAGACCGCAGTAACTGTAAAATCAATTTTCATTGGTTGAAATCCAAGGAGAATTAAACCAATATAAAATCAAAGCCAAATTCCATAGATTTAAAACAGAGACTGGGAAGCTGATTGCTCCTGCTTGGGTGGCCTGGAACGGATATGGTGGGGTCTGATGATTTTAAATGCTTGAAATCCTCCTAATTGCACCAGGAATAAATATCGCTGATGAAGCGTCCCAGTACACTCCAAAGTTGTTTGAGATATATGTAAAGAGAAATGACACCCGTTATAGAAATTCTCGCTTCTCTAGAAATCATAAATTCTCACTCTGTTAAAAATCAGAAATAATTATTTCTGTAAAAACCAGATCACAAAAATATCTGCAAAGATAGATCTTACATAGGAAGATAGAATATAAAGTTTTCAGCCAAATCTGATTTGCAAAATCTAAGCCTTGTCACTAGATTGACTAAATTTTTTTTAATGACTTTTCACCTTTTTGTAGATTATTTAAAGCTAAGATATATTTTAGATTGTAGAGGTTGTCTACAGTCGTCAGTGTTCTCCCATCTATTTACTATCTGAGTTTGACACAGGTTAACTTTGGTTCTTTCAACACAATTTGACCATAAGCCACTTTAGCTGAAAATGGTAATAGTAGTATAAGCTGTTTCCTTATAAGGAAAACATTCAGCATTCATTAACCTAGCAGTCAGTACTACAGTTGGTTGAAATCTTTCTCTTAAAACAATTTAAAAAAAAAAAGCAGTTACTGATTAATGAAAATACTCACAACTTTTGTTTTCGGTGAAGGCTGCCATCAATTCACTTAGAGGCTCCGTTACCAAACAAGAAACACTGATGTTGACTGACCAAACAGCTTAAAATAAAAAAATAAAAATAATTGTGACAAGAACAAGCATCTACAGTTCTCACCTATATGTCTCATCCTATTGTGTCTAACTAATGGTGCATATTTACTTATACGACATACAAATTCCTACTTGATGAAGGCATCTAAAGACTGTCTTCCTTTGATATGTTCAACCTTGCTTTTTGTACATCCTTGATAATGTCCTTTGCCATTAAGTGGTGATTCTTTGAGACATCTCTAACAAATTTCCTTTCCATTCTCTCAGAAAATGTTTTCTGCCAGTTCTTAACCTATTTTCAACACAATGAATCTCATATTTCTTGATAATGTTTCAAATTGTCTATGTAGGAACATTAAAACCCTTGTAGAGTGCTGTATATTCAAAGTAATCCTCCTCAAGCCTAATGCACTTTTCATCCTTCTCTACCACGCTTCTATTCACTTCTGGAAGGATTCTCTTCTTGGATGTTCCTCAGCTCTGTCATTACAGCCCTCTTGATGGCCTCCATGCCTTCAAAATGGGTCCCCTTGAACTTTAGGAAAAGAAAAAAGTCACATAGAGCAAAAGCAAGTGAATAAGAACGTTGTTTCAGTATGGAAACGTTCTTCTTGACCAGGAACTGCCTGATTCTCAAGGTGTTGTGAGCAGGTGCATTGTTGTGGTGAAGCAGCCACAACTCTCATCTCTTCTTGTGCACTGAGTGATGTGAATGCTGTAGGATCTCTTTGTATACTGATCGTCAGGTGTGTGACAAGAACTCACTGTGGACAATGCTGCTGACATCAAAGAATTGATAAGTCCCATTACTTTTCAGACAGACCCTTGTATGTATGAATGAATAAGATGATGATTCTATGGAATGGTAACATATAAGACAATTTGGAAAACTTATACTTAATATCAACTTTTGTTGATTTCCCAAGTGGGTATTGGGAATGATTGCAAAAGCCAAGTCAGAAGAACACAAAATGCATGCTGGGATATTTTTCTTAGCCAATAAAATGGGACAGCTTGTGTTTTGACACGACTCAGTCCAGATCTACCTTAACTACTAGACAGACCTAGTGTGTTCACTGTCCAACCTTGCTTTTGTGTACAAACACTAACTCAAGTTTGTGAATTCTTTTGCCTTCTTACCCATTTGATTTGCTGTAACTATATTGCTTGTTTGTTTGTTGCTGTTTGTTTGACCTTTTTTCTTTTTGTTGTAAATTTTATTAATTCTGTTCGTGTTGCATTTTGACAATGGCTTCTAACTCATCACTTTGGCATATTCTGCAAACAAGGCAGAGTTGTCATGCAATAGAAAGAATTTTATTTTGAAAGAGCAAAACCTACATTAGTGAGATAAAATGAATGCTTAATTTTTTTTCTTTAACTGTATTGCTAAAAAAAATTTGATTTTAACTAATTTAAACTTTTTATAGTGTTGAAATATATAATATCGATCCTTCTCTATGGCAGTGAATGCTGGTCAATTTCCTCACAGATGAGGAGAAAATTGGAGGCAACAGAAATGTGGCTCTAGAGAAGGATACTGAGAATTCCATGGACAAAGCATGTAAGAAGTCTGAAGGAAAATGGAAAAGAAAAAGGACTCAGAATCAGAAAGAGACAGCTGCAATTTATTAGACACATAAAGAAAGAGCAGGGTTTGGAGAATTTGACACTCACAGGACATATTGGAAGTCAAGAGGAAATGGGAAGAGCTTGTGTGAATGGATGGCAGAACAAGGTTGTGGTGAGTCATGACTGCCAATGTCCTGAAGAGGTTGTGGAGAGTCATGACTGCCAATGTCCTGAAGAGGTTGGGGAGAGTCATGACTGCCAATGTCCTGAAGAGGTTGGGGAGAGTCATGACTGCCAATGTCCTGAAGAGGTTGGGGAGAATCATGACTGCCAATGTCCTGAAGAGGAGGTAGAGAGTCATGACTTACTGACCCACCATCTGTACTAAGGAATTGTTTTGTGGTAATCAGTTGTGATCCAAGCCTTAATTTTTTACCTGGCTTAGATTATTATTATCTTTTGTGAAAATCAACTTGAAAATCCACATACAGATTGACTGATTTGTTCTCTATGGCTTATCAACCCTTTGCAGTTTATTTAAAACCAGAAAATATTTTTTGATGGTAATAATTGTTTTGGAGATAATGATTTGCTGATACAAATCCTACTAATTAACCCATAGTTGGGGAGAAGTAGATTCATTCTTTTCCCAAAGATATTTCTGTGTAAGAGAATAAAATAATCTTGACTGGAATTGAAACTTGGCTCTCTGCACATAGACAGTGATTAGCACTATTTACTATTACAAGTTTTTTTTTTTTTTTTTCTTTAATCATGTTCAGGACATAAGTGATCACGGTTCTCCACAACTTCTTTTTTTTAATATCTGTAAATTTTAGTAGTTTCATGTTGCCTATTCTATAGGATTTGAATTAAGAAAGTTGCCAACCAAGATTAGAGTCAAGTCTGACCTGATATTGAACCTATAGCTGGGGGAAGAAGAGAGGGATTCAGCCTTTTCCTAAAGGTATCAGTGCAAAGTGAATACAACAGACTTGGTTGTGATTTGAATTCAGCCTGCCAATAAGTTATGCAGCTAGCATGCTAATCACAATATTATTAATTAATTAATCCAACCAGAGATGCTAACTTACCAGTACACGTGAGGAGACTCCAAACGGTCATCATGGATTGTGAAGCAGAAACAAGTAAATGAGCACAACTTTTCCTTCCAAATGATAATTGCCTGAAGGTGAAATAATAAAATACAAAAATGAAAAACAGTTCAACACTTATACAATAATTTTTTGAGATACCCATCATACCGAAGACTCATTTTACCGTTGAAATAGCTAGACGTAACTGTAAGTTCTACTCTAATAGTTTCTTTTTTCATGTTTCATCACCTCTGGAAATTTCTTCTGATTTCTGGATTCCCTGACATCTATGTTCTTGAAAAATTTAAATGCAATGTTAATCACCATTTTCTATCGTCTGTTCTTTTATTGTCCTTTCTCCTCACTTAAGTCTTCTCATTTTCATCATTAGTGGCATTATCGCCTTGCTTGGGGTGAAATGACTGAACAAAAAGAAGAGGCAGACAGAAGAAAAAAAATGAGCAGACAAAGTCAATGAGTAGACTGGAAAAGCCATTCACAGAGACAGATATTAGTGAGCAACTGAGACATATAGAAGGAGCTGGCCAGATGCTCACCTGTGCAGTGAACCTATGACCACACCTGGTCATTAGACTGATACTGATGATAAATGAATGATTTTTAAAAATGATTAGTGTTTTTAATGTGTGGCCTATGATTTTGAAATAGCTGCCCAGTTTTTAAATATGGCATATCTATCTACAAAAGGACAGAATGCATGATTGTTAGCAAACGGACAAGCCCAAATTGCAAAACAAGAGATACCAAAATCAAACAAGTGTGGAAATTTAAATATCTGGGAAGTGTTTTAACAGAGGATGGAAAGTGTGACACTGAAATCCGAAGGTGTATTGGGATGGCAAAAGACGCATTCCAAAAGCTAAGCAGAGTACTAAGAAATGGATTGGTTGGTTGGTTGATTTTTTTTTTTGTTTAGTGGCATATCAACAACTCTATGGGTTATTTAATGCTGAAATCTAAATATTTTGAACACAATTTTATGGCTTCAACTAAATATATACTATAAATAGTTATTGTTGGTTGGTTGATTTTGTTTAGCGGAATATCAACAACTCTATGGGTTATTTAATGCTGAAATCTAAATATTTTGAACACAATTTTATGGCTTCAACTAAATATATACTATAAATAGTTATTGTTGGTTGGTTGATTTTGTTTAGCGGAATATCAACCTCTATGGGTTATTTAATGCTGAAATCTAAATATTTTGAAGACAATTTTATGGCTTCAACTAAATATATACTATAAATAGTTATTGTTGGTTGGTTGATTTTGTTTAGCGGAATATCAACCTCTATGGGTTATTTAATGCTGAAATCTAAATATTTTGAACATAATTTTATGCCTTTAACGATAGATATTTTGTACACAATTTTATACTTTCAGGGTAAATCTATGTTTTTTAGATATATAGTTTGTAGATAATAAAATGTTGGCAATTTAAAAAAATAAAATGTATTATTGGTAATTAAAAAAAATACATTGCTGGTAATTTCACTACAAAAATGTATTGTTATTCATTTTTAGTGCTGTATTGTCTTTTTGCTATAAAAATCTATTGCTGGTAATTTTACTATAAAGATGTACTGTTGATTTTTGTTTGGTGGTGGTGGTGGTGGTGTGTGTGTGTGTGGGGGGTCACTATATGCCCAAAGCTGGGACCCTAAAAGGGTGCTACCACACCGGGTCAGGGTGTACTAGGGAACAAGAGCAATTAAGAGATGGTGCCACACTCCTCAAGACCTCCAGTCTTCCGATCTGAGGCCTTGACACTGGATGGACTTTATCAACATATTCAGGATGAACTAAAAAACAGAAAAACTTTTCTAGAAACAAGGAAAAGAGTAGTAAACTGTTACATGGTGTATCTGTCCTCTTGTATGGCAGTGAGTGCTGGGCAATCTCTTCAAAGATGAAGAGACTTTTATTATTCTACAGAGGGATGCTGAGTATACCAGGGTCTGAACATGTGAGCAATGATACAGCTTTAGAGAATATGGAAACATAAAAGAAACTTATACTTAACATCAGGAAGAGACAATTGAGGTTTCTAGAGAATATAATGAGGAAAGAAGGCTTGGAAAATCTGATACTCACAGAACAGATTGGAAGCAAGAGAGACAGAGGAAAACAACGCATAACGTGAGCTTGAGTAAATGGATGGTGAAACAGGGTTTAGGAGAAATAATAGAGAGAGAAAATTTATTAAGGGCTATAAGGGACAGGAGGTAATATGGCACATCTTATTATAAAACGCAGATTGTGTGTGTGTCTGTAACGTTTATATATTGGATTGGATTTCCTACATTTTTCAACCGATTTCAACAAAACTTCACAGGACTACATAAAATTACCTTGTGGTGGTTCTAACAGCGCTAAAAATGGGAAAAATATAATTGTTTTTGCACAAAATCAATTTGAAAACACGATTAAGAGACATTGTGAAAATGGAAGGGGACAACTCACATCGGGTTGTTTGTGTGTGTGGGTTCCTTTAAATATGGGAGCGGATTTCCTATATTTTTCAGCCAATAAAACAAAAATTCACTTTTTTTTTTTTTTTGGCAGGTAGTGTTTCTTATTCTCTTGCACACTTTTTTCTTTATTTTCACATTCAGTATGCTTTAAAAATTCCATTTACAAGACAATTATTTATAATAAAATTCTATTCAATCGGGAGACTCATAACGATTGAAAACAATGTTTTTTTTGAGTTTGGGTTTGACCAATTCATAAAAAAAAAAAAACTAATTAAGACATGCATGTCCGTCAACCTTAAACAATAATTTTTGTCAATTTTATTTTTCAGTCTTTATGATGGTGGATACTTGATCTATCTCTTACTGTTATATCCCCGGGCAACGCCGGGCTCTACTGCTAGTTATTTATAGTAATGAAGAATAATGCCAGATTAAAAATCCATTAATTCCATTAAGAAATTACTGTTTAGGTTTCAGATTCAAAAAACAAAATAGCAGACGTGGACTCCAAAAGATCTTAACACAAGATGTGCTTTTTCTTTTTAAATCATTTCACTCCAAGCAAGGCAATAAAGACGCAGTGTTAGTAAGTGTGAAAGAATAAGAAAAACATAATTAAAGAGAGAGAATAATAAAAGAAAATACATTAAAACAACAAAAAGCTATGCTTCCTTCACAAGAGTAACAGAACCTAGCTTTTGCTGTGAAATCTTTCAGGTCTGACTGGTGTAAAAGCATGCTATATAGTAGTTTCCACTATATACAGGTTCAAATCCTGCTGATGAGCACATTTTCTTTATTTAAAGACCCCAGAAAAATTCAGGCCAGGTAATATCAATTATTTTGTAAAAATAAATTGATTTCTACTCAAACATGTGTAGTGACAAAACATGTTAATAGTAATGAGAAACATTATTGCAAGAAGCATTTCAAATATCAACTCATTAACTTATTCAGAATCGCTAATTAAAGGTGGCCAACTCAGAATTGCTAATTAAAGGTGCCTAACCATGAATCTGCTAATTAAAGGCTAATTAAAAGTGGCCGACTCGGAATTTGCTAATTAAAGGCTAATTAAAAGTGGCCGACTCGGAATTTGCTAATTAAACGTAACCAACTCAGAATCGCTAATTAAAAGTAACTTACTTGCAAGTAGAATGATCCAGAGGATTTTCTAAGAGCTTCTTCAGAGAATTGGTCATTGGATCCCATATTGTGATCAGGTAGTTGAAAGCCACACCAAGAAGAGATCCATCTTCAGCAAATGATGTCTTTCTGGGGATGAAGTCACGATAAAAGCCTTCAGATTCACAAATCCAATTACCTGAAAAGAAACATTATTAAAATAAGAAATAAGCAACAAATCCTCTTCAATTTAAAAAAGAAAAAAAAAATTTCAATATTCAGAATTGCCATCATACTTCAAAAGAATCCCAAGCTATGGAATGTCCTGGGTTACATGGGTTGCCATGAATGAGTTGATCCAATCAATATAAAATTGCTAAACAAAGTAAACAACATACCTGAGTCATGCCAGCACACATTTCAACACCATATGGATGTCTTTGTTTAGCACAATTGGTATTGTAGCATGTTCTATATTCAACCTAAAGAACACTGACCAAAAACATTTCCTTGGTCTTGGTAGCAGATAGGCTTAGTTTTATGCAAACATGTTTGAATTTGTCAGTCATAATTGCAGAGACATTCTGTCCAATGCCTTTTGGCAAACATGGGCCTAAGCCTGAATTCAGATCTCAAAATTTGAGAGTTAACTTCTGAAGAATACTTGGCCTGATTCACTTCCCAAAATCTGAATTTATATTTAGATACCTTCTTGGTTCGGCCAAGGACTTTTCAGCTTCTTTTTGCATCATAATCGAAAAGGAGTAGATAGTGTGAAGCCTATTGGCAGACTGACTCATTAAGCTTAGAAACAAAGAGACTGAGTTGCATATGTATTTGTATACTGTTCGGGAAATTTTCTCTATGACTTCAGATAAATAAGAACCCAAATATTCCCCCCAAAACAACACAAAAAAAAAAAAAAAAAAAAAATCTTTTGGGTTATGTATGAAAAATTCAGGTGTCTGACACCATAGACCAGCAGTTCCCAAACAGTGTGGGGCGCCTTATATGTGCGGCAGAAGAGGATAGCTGGTGCAGCAGAATGATTGAAAGACAAAGATTTAGAAACAGTTTGAAAAAATTCATATGCCAAAAATAAATATGATTTCAAAATTTCAATTGTTATTATGGATTACTTGTAATGGCATGCATGAGTCCCAGTATAAATAATTATTGACTGATTTTGTCATTGATATTTTTGCATTATATCAGGTATTAAGACTATAATAACTAAGCTCTGCAAATTGGAGGAGAGAGTTATCAATGATAATGTCACGGACATTGAATTCAGTTATCTCCCTTTATGTACTTTTTATCACATAAAATTTGATGAGATGTGAGCAAATTTTAATTCTGAAAATGCAGTGCAGAGGAAAAATTTTGGAAACTACTGCCAGTATAATGTTGTAATAGTAAATACAAATTGAGGCAGAGGTCTTAAACTCTCTGATATATGTTAAGTTTCTTTTGAAAATCCAGTTAAAATGTAATGTTTTTTTTGTTATTTATTTTAAAATTTGTAGGTTTCTTCAAGTTTAGTTAAAAAATTTATGGGACATTTTTATGCTGATTATGGCAAACATATTTTTGGCAAAGGTCAATAAAATAAAAAAATAATCTTAAATGTTCTTTCAGTTTTTTGTTCAGTGATTTTCTGCAAAGGTCAATTAAATAAAATATCTTAAATGTTCTTTCAGGTATTTCCTTAAACGCTCAATAAAATTGTAGTGAGTCCCTATAAAAATAAGATATATAAACAAAAATAAAAAGAATTCAAATTAAAATAAATCATTTGTGCTATCCTTTAAAACCCTTATCTCCTTTCTTTTCAAACTCCTCATTCTATCCATCCCTTAGCTCACAAGAAGATAACCCTCAAATAAAGGAAGGAGGAGGAAAGACTGAACCCGGTTAAAAATGCCAGAAGTTTGCAGGAATAGAGCCTACTAATTTATGACTGAAAACCAACAAAAATCAAGGAGACTTTACACATAGCTTCTGTTAAAAAAAAAAAAAAAAAAAAAAAATGAAAAGAAAGGAATGCCAGAAAATAAAATAATTTTGGCCAATAAAAAAAATTAACACAAAGAGACTTTTGATGTTAACTGTTGTATCATCGAGGTGAATGATACACAGAGAAGGATGAGTGCTTTTAATATATTTATTCAGCACCAGTGACAATTTACAAGGAATAGAGGAGGGTATAGCCAAACGAAGTCAGATCAGTCCAAATATTAATTCGCTTAGTATCAACTTATTAATCAACTGCTGAAGTCCTTAATTGTAGACTATTTAAGGCTATGAGCCAGGCCATCTGGTAGAGTGCTGAAGGGGTGCTAGCTAATCTACAACATTAGCCAAAATCAATGTTTCTGTCAAAATCTTGGAGCTGGTCAAAATGATATAAGCTGATGCTTCAGAGCTAGAAGCAAAAGAGAAGGGATTGCAAGAAAGAGAGAGAGAAAGAAAGAGATAAGGGTTTTAAAGGAAAGTGCAAATGCCTTATTTCAATTTGAATTCTTTTTCTTCTTCTTCTTTTTATTTGAGGGTTGCCCTCTCATTAGTTGAGAGAGAAGTATATAGAGAAAACCTTAGAGAGAGAGAGAGAAAGAGAAAAGGGTTTTAAAGGAAAGAGCAAATACCTTATTTCAATTTGAATTATTTTAATTTTTGTTTATATATTTTCTTTTTATTGGGACTTATTACAGATAATTTTAAATGTTCTTTCAGATTTTTGTTCAAGGATTTTATGCAAAAGGCCAATTAAAAAAAAAAAAAAATCATCAAGCATTTCAATAAGATAAGCAAAAATCTTAAATGATTTTTCAGTTCTGAAGTTCAAATCAGAGATAAGGATCTGAAAAAACTTTCACTTACTTTGTGCATTTGTATCATCAGAGAGTTTCCACAGTTTGAATTTCCCATCGTTGCTGGATGTGACAACCTGTTGCAATCTTCCATTGCTGGATGGAATTGAGCTCAGAGGGCAAAAGCAGAGACTATTTACCTGTTGAGAATGGGGCATCTCAATCATCGTGTTAAGAATGTACCTGGAGAAACACAACAAAATATAAAGGACAGGTGAGCATAAAAAAATTCTAAGACAGGTTCAGGTGTCTTTGAAAATTCTTCAATGAAACATTTCTCTTATTTTGTTTATTTTTCACATCAGTGAATTTGACTTTTGTTGCTTTTGTCAACATTTCAATTTTGACAAGTATTTACTTACATTTTCATTTTTCAGTTGCTTTTTTTCTCCCCTTGTCAACTTGACCAGAGTAGTCAGAGCAAAATTGGAAATAAAGAATAAATCAGATTTTTATTTGATAGAAGTATTGTCAATTTTTCTAAATGTCTTTTCTGTTTTGTCAGTACATAATTATAGACACTTGCATTTTTATATCCTCCTTCTGCCTCCTACACACATAAAATCTGATCAACAAAAACATTACTTTAGTCCAATGAGGTCCTTTTAGAGGACAAAATAAATATTGTAGCATTTAATTTACTTATTAATTTTTAACTAGTATTTACTTTCATCATCATATTTTTTTATCAGATGAAACATTGTCAATCATTCTTATAAAGTTTGGATGTGTTTTTTCATCATCATTTTTTTTTATCAGATTGTCAACCATTCTATTTTTGATTAGTATTTACTTTCAGTTTAAATTTTATTGTGTAATTTTGTTTTTTTTTTTTTTACTGATGAGAATAGAATGACACCCTAAAGAACAATTGTAAATTTAAAATGAAAGTAAACACGAATTAATAACAATTGGTTATAATGATTCATTAATATAGAATAAAGATAATATTGCTCTAACATCCCAACTTATTGAAATGTTGTGAAAAAATAAAGATGTTAACCTGAAAAATAAGCATAGGAAGGGTAAGTTTTTTTTAAAACATCATATACAAGAAAGCATAACAAGCACCTACAAACATGGTACTATTCAAATAGACTGGTTCATTCATATTAGCTGTTTTGCATATGAAAACAGACTTCTTTTTTTTTTTTAAGGTAGGGTTGTAGCAATACAATTTCTCACACATCCTAAAGAGATGAATAGATATATATTTTTTCCTTTAAAGCCAATTTAATGACCAGGGTTTCTCAGGAATCTTGTCTCCAGCCCACCTTTGAATCATCAAACAAAGTTTTGTTAGTGTTTTTAGACAGTCTTTCAACGGATCTTACTTTTATGGCTGACTCCCAAAAACCTGTCTTGTTGGTCCCCCTTTCCAGTTGGTGGAACACGTGTGGACAGAAAGGGGTGGAGGGTCCCTCAGTCAGTATCCATATAATGAATCAATCAGACAGTGAGTGAAGTGGCCAGGCAGTGTAGGGATATGTTTTCCATGGTCAGAACTTATTGAGACCTCAGATACCAGAAGTTGGCTTTCTTGAAGCAGAAGGAAGACATTGCCTATTAAGTAAGAAACCATTTTTTTTTTGCTACTTCCTGACCTAACGAGTGTCTTGAAAAGCATTTGTCATTATTTCTTTGTTCACGTAGATCATGGCCATAATTGAAACGAATCTATAGAACATAGTGAGTGCCAGTGTATAGGCATACAGCCAATGTTGGATGTCATCACAACTTGTGCAGTGACGTGCAGAATCGCATCATAAGAGGGTTACAGAAAGATTTCTCTTAATGAACAAATGGATATATAGATTTTAAAGTAAAGGATGAAAATATACATAAATTAATTTAAAAAAAAAAAATTATGTATCAGTTTATTCTTAATTTAAGATAAATAATTATGAACTTCAAATATTTGTGCATATACTTTCAAAAAAATCCCATACAAAAAAAGTCCCCACCCCCATGAGTTTAAAGGATACCAATAAAAATCTTCAGTTCATCAAAATTCTATTGTAGCTACTCAACTCTTTATTATTGGATAATATTTATAAAAAGACAAAAATCATAAATAATAATGAATAATACAGAAAAATAATGAAACTATTTAAAAAATATTTTCACTTGAGTTTAAAAGTTTTGTGTTGTATTTTCTGCTGCAGATGATAAAATAGATACTCTAGAACAGTGCTACTCAAAGTTGTGGTCCATGGACTGATGCCGGTACATGAACAGTATCCAGGCCATGCTAAAAAGAATTGGCAGATGCCAGCCTGTCTTAATAGTAAGTAAGATAAGTTGGATAAGGTCAAATTGGCAAGTGAACTCAAAAATGACATAAAATTTGTTGTTAAATGGGGCAAGTAGCGGCTTGTTAGTTTTATCCCTCAAAAATGAAACTGCTCTCTTTTAATTGTCCGAGAGGACCCCCCCCCCCACTTTTTTTAAACTTTCCATCAGCATGGCTGGTGTTAACCACCAGGAGAGTTACTCATTGCACCTTCTCAAACCAACGTTTTCAGTTGACATGAAGTGGAAAGAGTACATTGAATCAATTACTCAGTCTGTTGCTAGGATAGCTGGTTCATTATGTTGCACTAGACAATTTTTCTCACCAGAATCTATCTTACATATTTATAAGTCTAATATTCATCCTTATTTTGAATATTGCTGCTACATCTGGTTTGGTGTTCCTGCTATATATTTAGAGATTCTTGATAAAATCTAAAGAAGAATCTGCAATGTTATTGGTCCTGTCATGGCATCACAGCTTCAGTCCTTTTCCCACTACCGTAATGTAGCTTCCCTGTGTCTTTTCTATAAATACTTTCATGGTAATTGTTCTGATGAACTTTCCTCTAGCATACCTAGACTTGATGAATTTAAGTGCAGTACTAGATGCTGGCAAGGTCTAATTATTTTACAGTTGAAATGGCTACATGTAACTGTAAGTTCTAGGCTAAAGGTTTCTTCTATTGCATTTCTTGCTTGTGGAACTGTTCTGGCTTCCTGTTACCCAGTCAATTTTGATCTTCAAAAATTTAAATGCAATTTCAATCATTACCTTCTGTCTCCTTAATAGTAGTTTTTCTCATATTCTCTAACACTCAATAGTCTCCTTGCCTCCTAGTGGCTTTATTGCCTTGTCATTGATGAAATAATGATTAATATATATATATATATACTGCATTTGGTTTTGGTTTGGTTTATGGTATATCAACCTCAATGAGTTATTTAATGCCTACAAGATTTTTATTGCTGGTAATATTTTTGTTTCAAAATGTATTGCTGAAAATTTTTTATTCAAAAATTCATCGCTGGCAATAATCTTTTACAAAAATACAACCTATTTTTACATGTTTTGATCCCAGTTTGGGGGTTAACTATTTGCCCATAGCTGGGACCCTAACAGGTGCTACTAAACCTGGGAACACCAGCAATTAAGAGGTATTTCCATGCTCCTCAAACCTCCTGATCAGAGGCCCTGCTGTTGGATGTAGTTTATTGTCTTACCTAGGATGCAGATGTAGTTTATCATCATACCCAGGACGAATATCTACTGCACAACTTGACCATTAAAAAGCAATTTACAAAGTTGAGCATTATTTACATTTGAATTTAATTCTTGAAAACGGATAAGAAAAATAAGACTTACTTTTTTTCTTTGGAATTATAAAACCAGAATTTCATTTTTATTTCTATATCATATCCACGCATTTCCCAACATTCAACAGTGGCCAGCCAAGTTCCATCTTCATTGAAGCTTGCTCTTGTAACCTCCAGCACACTGCATTGCTTATCAGGTTTATCAGGGGAGATGTAATTCAATCCGACAACATCCAGCTACAGAATCAGGAAAGAGATCAAGCAAAGCCTTTAGAACAAAAAGTATATCATCTGTAACTTAACTAATATCGCTTGGAACAATTGGATGCCCCAAAGATGGTTTGTTTGTTTATCAGTGTATCAATGCCTTAGGGGTGAAAACAATGCAGAAATTTAATTTTCTTAGGAGCATTAGTAATTTCTTTTAGAAACATGTAGTACTTGCTGGTATTTTTTTTATCTTTTCTGTTAATTCACCCCAATATTTACTGTTTTAAAAAGCGGTGATTAGAATTGGGATAAAACTTAAACACATCAAAGTGAATTTATACATTTTTTGTTTCTTGAGAATTGACAACAAAAATAATATTTTTTAATTAGATTGTTTGTTTACACAAGTTTATTGTTGATTGGCAAAACAGTAGCTATTAGGTTGGTGCAAAAATAATGACGTAGTAATGTCGTTTTTGGACGTATTTTTTAACGTCAGAAAACGACATCATTACGTCATTATTTTTTGCACCAACCTAATAATTACCAATTGATTCAGAATTTATAAAATGGTAAATAATAAAGATTTCCTTATATGTTGGTTAACATATTTTAATAATTTAGTAAATGTTTATAAATTTATGAATAAAAAATTATTTGCATATTTATTTCCTTATAAACTGGTAAATGACAAAAATTGTATTAGTTTTTAGAATGTTGTAAATATAAGAATAAAATTAATCTTGTTTGTTTAGTAGCACATCAACATCCTTATGGGTAATTCAATGCTGAAATTTAATTTCCTTGGAGCATTAGTAATTTCTTTTACAAAAATGTATTGCTGGTAATTTTTACTATAAAAATGTATTTTTATACTTTCATAGTGTTTTGGCCCCTATTTGGGGTTAACTATTTCCCCATAGCTGGGACCCTAACAAGTGCTAACGCCCCGGGTCAAAGTGGACCTGAGAACAACAGCAATTAAGAGGTAGTTCCATGTTCCTCAAAACCTCCCAATCAGAGGTTTTGCTGCCAGATTTAGTTTATTTTTATACGTAAGATGCTCAAAAGCGGTAAGTTTGTCTGACTTTTTGGAGATGAGGAGTCACCTTTGAATGTTGACTTCAATGTTCATTTTATATATATATATATATATATAGTAAAGGTAATAAATCCATTGGTATATAATCCAAGTGAATCCTAGTCATATAACATATTAAAACTGATCCACAAAGGAGCTTAATGTATTTATTATTACAGAGTAAATAATTAGTACACAATAAAATCCATGTAATATGAGCTAATTTCAGATTTTATTGTGCACTATATATATATATATATATATATATATAATATATAAATAATAAAAGGAAAAATGTATGACAAAGCGGGAAAAATTTTCTTGTGACGAGTTTTGCTTTTTAAAATTTCATCAGACTAAATTGGTTATTTGGTGTGACTACACATACACACAAATGTGGGGTGCTGGGAATTTTAGATTAAATTTTTTTTTTTTTTTTTAAATCTAACCAATTTCATCTAGACTGTTTTTTGGTTAGATTTAAAAAAGAATCTAAAAGAAATTGGCTAGATTTAAAAATAAAAAATTTAAATTCCCCACGTCGCATGGTCATGCATATGTGTAGTCACACCCACATAACAAATTTAGTCTGATGAAGTCAATGCACCACAAGAAAAGTTTCTCTACTTTGTCATACATTTTCACCCAATATTGTTCTTGATAAGTAAATCTCTCTCTCTCTCACATATATATATATATATATATATATATTACATAGAAAAAATTCAAAATAAAAAAAAAAATAACTCCTTGGTGTTGACAAATCCTGCAAGGAAGCTCTTCTAAGGCGAAATAGCTATTCATATGGGGTAATTTTGAATTTCTATTCTATGTAATTTATCTATTTATATATGGTCTGTTATAATAAATACATTGAGCTCTCTTTGTGGGTCAGTTTTAATATTTTATATTATTTGGATTCACTTGTATTATATACCTATGGATTATATATATATATATATATATATATATATAAAAAATTGATAACAACTCTTCCATATGTTAGTGGTATGGATTGTCATTTTCTACAAAAGAAAGGTAGGTATAGGCATATAAAATTTAGCCTAATGTAAATCTTTCACTTATAAGGATGTTATCAACAAATTTGGCCACCCTCATTATTTATCAATCTTTTTCTTAAGGTGTATTTACTTTTAGAAGTTTAAAAGAAATCGTAATTACATTAAAGAGTGGCTTGTTTGTCTGCAGGCAATAAAACTGTAAATGTCCAGGTTTTCCATTTGTGACCAGAGCCTTGTTGTTGGCATCATAATGAAGACCCATTGGGAAAGGGTTTGTTTTCTGGTAGCCAAGCTGTCGAACAGTGATGCCGATTATAGCCTGGACAATTTTCCGGTTGCTTCCTTCAATGACTAAAATCTCTGTAAAAGATAAATGAAAATGCATTTCAAATGGAGAATTAAAATATGAACATGGTACTCATAAAAAGAAAACCAATCTGTCCTATATGACATCTGGAATGACAAATAGAAGGATGAACATCAGACATCAACTATTAAAAGTATGTAAAAGAGCACTGAACAGTTATGTAATATCAGTCCTTCTACAAGGTAGTGAATAATAGACAGTCTTATCACAAATGAAGAAGAGATTTGGAGTAACAGAAATGTGGTTATACAGAAGGATACTGAGAATACCATGAACTGAACGTGTGAACAACAACAAAATTTTAGAGAAAATAGAAACAAAAAGGACACTTAACATTCGGAAGTGATAGTTGAAATGTCTAGGGAACATGAGGATTAATCAACTCGTTCATTTTCTCTGGTTTAACAACCCCTTAAAGGTTATTTAAAGCCAGAAAATATTTTTAGATTGTAAGAATTAAAAACAAATAATAATGATACTATTCTTATTAATTAATCCATGGCTGGGGAGAAGAGGTGGATTCATACTTTTCCCAAGGGTATTTGCATGTAAGCAAATATAACAAACCGAACTGGAATTGGAACTTGGCTCTCCGATTAATAATTCAGAGTCATTAGACACCACTACCTGCACATCCAAGCTTACAACACTTATTATTCCCAAGCAGTCACCCATCTAGGAACTGTCCAGGCTCGACATTGCTTAACTTCAGTAATCATATGGGAACCAGTGTTTCAATGTGATGTGGCTGAAAGTGGAAAGAGGGGACAGAGGAAAACAATGCATAACCTACCTAGCGAGCTTGAGTAAATGGATGGCAGAACATGGTTTAGGAGAGGTAACAGAATGACAATTTATTAAGAGCTACAAAGGGTAAGAAATTGTGGAGAGCCATAATCACAAACATCCTGAAGGGACACGACATAGAGAAGAAGAATAAGTTCCTGAAAACTCACATATTTAACTCAGTTTCCTTTCAAAACGGCTTGGCAACGTCCTGTGTTAAGATAAGTTATGGTCCCTGAGCAAAAGACATATTGAGTTGTCTATTCTTGACACAATGATTTATGTTAGATGGGGTCATAAATAATTTCCGTTTTTAGGAACCAGTTGATCATTCAAATTACTAATCGTAACTTAATTTTTGCACAGCATACACAGCGGATTAAAGGAAAAATTTCTTAATCCAACAAATGGATGGACCGAAAGTGCATGAAAGTCATGTAATATTATGGGAGTTCAAGCAAAGAATAACACTAGAGAGACATAGAAAAATATTTAGTGGTTATGTTTTTAATTCTTCTTTTAATCTTGTTCACCCCAAACAAAGCAGTAAAGCCACTAAGACACAAGGCATTACTGGGTGTGAAAGAATTAGAAAACAGAAACATTATTAAGGCGTGAAAACAATAGAAGAGTAATTGGGAAGACAAGTAGATAACGATTGACATTGCACTTAAATTTTTGAAGATTAAAGTTAACCGGAAAACATGGAGCCTGAAGAGAATTCCACAAGTGAGAAAGGCAAGAAAAGAAACAATTAACATAGAACTTAGGCTTACATCTAGCCAATTCGACTGTAAATTGATGAGACCTCATTGCCACTCTAGTACTGCACTTAAATTCATAAAGTCTATGTACCATTGTGAAGAGCTCACCTGAACAATTATCATAAAAGTATTTATAGAAGAGCCACAGGGAGGCAACATTATGGCAGAGGGGAAAAGACTGAAAACCAGATGACAGATCAGGACCCATAATATTGCTGATTTTTCTTCACATTTTATGAAGGATCTCTAAGCATATAGCAGGAGCACTGGAACATATGCGGCAACAATATTCTAAGCATTGGCAAATGGTAGACATAGATATGTAGGGTAGCTTCTGGAGAGAAAAATTTATTTATTGAATATACATACAATTATGGCACAAGGCCGAAAAGGGGGAATGGGTGGAGGCTGGTCTTCACTATCTTATACCTAGCTAATTGGATTCATGACCCATTCACTCGTTACAATTTCCTCATTCACCATAAAAACTCATCTATCACCAATCAATCCTCCATACACTATAATACCACATCCCCTCAGGGGGAAGGAGAGGCTAGTCTAGCACAACACAATGAATCAACTTTCTTAGTAGCTGACTTAGCAATCCATTCAATAGTCTTTCCACTTTATGTCAGCTGAGAACGTCAACCCAAGAAGGCACGATGAGTTACTCTTCTGGAGGTTATCAACAGCCATGACTGATGGAAGGCAGAAAGGGGTCTTGCAGATGATTAAAAGAGAGAAGTTTAGTTTTGGAGGTGTTAACATTAACAAAGAAGGAGCCTTAACAGGCAAGTAAAAAATTGGTTTACAAAGTTTTGTTCATGAGAAATGGTGCCTGAAGATGAACACAAACCAGGGTGTTTATCAGACTTTGATGATGACATCTTAAACTCATTAATGGAAAGCAATCCACAGTAAAGTACTCAGGAATTAGTAAAGATGTTAAACACACTGCAATCTACCAAATGCCAACTTTATATGTGGTTTGGTTTGTTTTATGGCATACCAACTTCTGTGGGTTATTTAATGCCTACAAGATTTTTATTGCTGGTAATATTTTTGTTTCAAAATGTATTGCTGGTAATATTTTCCACAAAAATAAAATGTAAATTTTTCTAAAAAATCTATTACCAATATAAAAACCTGAGTAATAATGGAAATTCCAAAGTTACTAATGTTGATAATGTTAAATGCAATTGCAGAAATTATAATGATTGCCCATTGTAAAACAAATGTCTGACCAACTCTCTTGTTTATCTAAGCACTATTTCTACAATAGAAAATCCGACTGTTGAAAAATTTTATTTAGTAGCACTAAGAATTTTTTTTTAAACTAGGTGGTACCAAACATATCCTGTCTTTCACCAATGGCACTTATAAAAATAGAACATCTCTTTCCAAATATTTTTGAAATTTAAAATTGGTTAATAAAACTCCGACACTAAAATGGAAAGTATTAAAAAAAGCTAGAACGTGTAAATCCTTAAACGGACCTTGCTTTTTAGCTTACATGACAAATTGGAAATTATTAGACTTGCTGATAAAAATTCTCTATTAAACCAAAGAAGTGAATTAACTGTAAATTGTAGACATAATTTACCTTTCACTTTACAATATGGTTAAACTTTGAATTTGGTAGTGCTATTTCATATATTTATAATTGGTAAGTAAATTGCGGTGCACCATTTATGAGTGATTATTTTATTTTGTTTTATGGCATAGCAACCTTAATGGGTTATTTAATGCCGACAACATTTTTAGGATAGATTCGTATGAATAGAATATGTATTCTTTGGTTTAGATTGATTTGGTTTATTTTGTTTTACGGCATACCAACCTCAATGGTTTATTTAATGCTGACAATATTTTGTTTTGTCAAAAATCTGTTTCTGGTAATATTTTTCCTTAAAAATTGTATTGCTGGTAATAGTTAACTATTTGCCCATAGCTGGGACCCTAACAGGTGCTACCACCCCGGATCAGGGGGGACCTGGGAACACCAGCAATTAAGAGGTGGTTCCACGCTGCTCAAAACCTCCTGATCAGAGGCCTTGCTGCTGGACGTAGTTTATCGTCTTACTCAGGATGCGGATGCAGTTTAACGTCTTACCCAGGGTAAAAACATCTCATATGGATGTTACACATTTTTAAAAAATTTTAAATGGTTTAATTTTATTCACTGGTTTCTTAAAGAATCTTTTTGATTTTGAACTACAAAATCTATGTTACAATTAGCTATACACTTGAGTATCTTCCTACCCCTCCTCTTAGCTTCATTTGTCCACAGTTATGATACAGTGATGCCACTCGAATATAGTTTGAATTAATTTCATGTCTGCCACAAATGGCCTTGTCTAGGATTCTATTTCAGGTTACATCACGACATGATATAAATTTTCTTTTTTAGGTTAATTTTTAATGTAGCGTAGCTCTGACACCTGATTGATCAATCAGGGTAAACCCACAAACCTCATTTTAATTGTGATCTTTTGTTTTCTCATCTCTTCTCTTTCAAAAAAAGAAGTGATATTTTGCTTTTGAAATTAAAAACATTATTTACTCACCAGTTATTTACCATTGCCTGAAGAGGCACAGCTTAGTGCTGGAACATGAAAGATATTGTGTAGCAATTTTTAATGTTTTATTTTAATCTCCTATAATAAATAATATGAAGCTCTATTTTGCATTGAGCCCCCCCATTTTTAAAATGAATGCTACAGTCAGTTGAATTATACTCCATTTGCTCTTATCTTATACTGGGACATAATATATATATATATATATATATATATATATATATATATATATATATATATAATTATTATTTTACTATAGTAAGGCACTGAAAATCAGGAAGAAAGGGATTATCAATGGTCAGTAATGAATGCAAGCATTACTGATAGAATAGTGTTATTATATGTATAATGGAAGTGCATTGCTAATTATTTTACTGTAGGAATGCATTGAAAATCAGGAAGAAAGGGATTATCAGTGGTCAGGAATGAACGCAAGCATTACTGATAGAATATGGCTATTATATGTATAACAAAAATGCATTGCTAATGACTTTACTATAGGAATGCATTAAAAATCAGGAAGAAAGGGTTTGTCCAGAATTAAGGCAAATATTACTGAAAGAATTGAGCTATTAACAATAAAATAATATCTATTAGAAATTAATCAAATTTTAATAAATTTATTTTATATATTTTGGTTATTAAAAAAATGAAGATGTAATTCTTACCATTATCTGCAAGGCTGGCAATGATATATTGGTTGTCTGGAGAAACAGAAAGTGATTTTATTGGTGCTCCTATTCGTGGCAGAAAGTCTCGTGTGTGCTGATTCAATTGCCAAACAACAAGTGTGCATTCATGGCCACCACTATACAGACGAGTTCCTGAAGAAAATATGAGAGAGAGTGAGGAAAGACAATAATAACGAGAGGGAGGTAAGACAACAGCACATCCAAGCACTTGATATTTCCAAGTGGTTACCTTCAACTGAGTAACTGAGGTCCATGACTGGAAGGGCATGCCAATGGTTTATGGATTTTATGACATTTTTGTTTCGCAGAAATCGCTTCCTAAAAAACAAAGATAAAGAAAAATTAAATTCAATCAGATTATTTGGTATTGGTTAGGGCAGAGAAATCAACATTCTACCATCTTGGAGTATATCATTATTCAAACAAACTTTTCTGGAGGACGTCTACTGTTTCCTGATAGTCAGGAATTTGTCTCATAGCACAGGGAATTGGATCCTAAGACCAGTTGTACAAGATTAAATTTCTATGAAAGGGTTTCAGATTTAATTATAATCCTGTATTTCATGAAGGAAAAATAGAATTTTATCACTATATCATCAACTAAGTACTGAGTCTCTTCAGGATGTTGGCAATCATGGCTCTACACAATTTGCTTTCTATGGCTTATCAAGTTTATAAAGTTAATAAATTTTGGCTTTTTGTTGTCTCTCCTAACTCCAGCTCTGCCATCCATTTACTTCAGCTTTTTTTTTTTAAAGCATTTTATCCCAAGCAAGGCGGAAGTGCCACTAGCATGCAAGTGGGAGCAAGAGTAAAAAGACGTGATAGAGGAAAGGATGAAGAGAAAGACAGGGAATAGATCAAGGCATCCGGAGATGTCAATTGACATTGCATTTGAATATTTGGAGATTACAGCTATCAGGGAAGCAAGTAAGAAGGGAGTTCCACAGATGGGAAGTGCGAGACAGGAAGCTATTGGAGTAGAAGAGATGGCTACATTTAACTGTTTCAACAGTGAAAGGGTAGGACCAAGATGCTAACCTAGTAGAACATTTAAATTCATGCAGTTTGGGAACCAGCGAAAGTAGCTTGTCAGAACAGTTACTGTGAAGGTATTTGTAGAAAAGACAGAGGGAGGTGACAGCACGTTTTCAGTATGTCCTGTGAGTATCAAATTTTCCAAGCCCTCTTTCTTCATTATGTGCTCTAGAAATTTCAACTGCCTCTTTCTGATATTAAGCATAAATGTCCATTTGTTTCTATTTTCTCTAAAACTCCATCATTGCTAACATGTTTGGTACATTATTTTTTCCTTCTGTAGAACCCCATTTTTGTTGCTTCAAGTCTCATCATCTTTGAGATCGTGCAGCATTCACTGCCATGTAGGAGGACCGTTATTAGATAACAGTTCAGTATTCTTTGTTTCTAATGAAATTTTTCTGTTTCTTAACACTTTGCTTAGCTTTTGGAAAGCATCTTTCATTATCCCAATGCTCCTTTGGGTTTCAGTGTTGCACTTTCTGCCCTCTCTTGATAGAGAAGTCAATTCTTTTCTCTCTCCAAAAAATTTCAAATGCAATTTTTTACAATGGAAAATATAACTTTAATTAAAAATTATAACAAGGACTAAAAGTAGAAAATAAAATTATATAAAATAAACTAAATGAGATTGGCTCAGATATATGTCTAGACACAACTTGTAAATTAAAATTAAAAATTTCTAAAACTTAAAAAATTTAGCATTCATACATCTTCAGTTAGGGCTTAGTTGAGTTTATGTGTGTTTAGCTGGTCATTCAGGAGAACTATTGTGTTGCAGGGCTCTCAGCCCACAAATAGAAGTTGGTACATTTGTAATAAGTGTACAAAAAGAAACTGGTTTCAAATGAGGCAAGATAAAGAATATGGGTGAATTTCCAGCAGGGTTGTTAGATTTAAATCAAATATTAAAAAAAAAAATACCACCGATTTAAATCAATTTTACAAAAATGTTTATTTAAAGCAAAAGATTTAGAAATGAATCAATTTTTTTTTGTTTTCATGTAATGTCATGAAGGCAGAAAAGTGGTAAACATATTGAATCAAATATTTATTAATCAACTGAATTAATTTTTTTTTACTATAAAATAAACCATCTTGGGTATGATGATAAACTACGTCCAGCAGCAAGGCCTTTGATCAGGAGGTTTTCAGGAGCATGGCAACACCTCTTAATTGCTAATGTTCCCAGGTCCACCTTGACCCAGAGTGGTAGCACCTGTTAGGGTCCTAGCTATGGGTAAATAGTTAACCCACTAACTGGTGTTAAAACATTATGAAAATATAAAAATAGGTTTTTGAGGGAAAAAATATTACCAGCAATACATTTTTGAAGAAAAAAATACTACTTGCAATACATTTTTGAAAAAAAAAAAAAAAAAAAAAAAAAAATTAGCAGCAATACATTTTTGAAAAAATATTACTAGCAACAAAAATCTTGTCAGCATTAAATAACCCATTGAAGTTGATACAAACCAAACCTCTAAAATAAAATTTTAACCATTAAGAAATTTTAAAATTCAACATAAGCAGTTTTTGGATTCGTGGATTTAAATAGAAACACCAATTTTGCTGTTTTATCTGTTCCAAGATGGTTTCTCTGTTTGGAATGCACCAGTTCAATGCCAGAAGATGAGGCCATTGCTGACAGGAGTTGCTTAACTGCAGTAATTATATTACTGTTCAACATACTTCAAATTTCAAAGTTAAAAAACAGCACAAACAAGAATTGAAAAAACCAGATATAAAAAAAAAAAAAAAAAAAAAGCTGACAGTGTTGCTAGCAAACTACCAATAAAAAAAAATTACAAGATTATTTATGTACAAATCAATCATACATAGATAATGATCACCATGTGAAATAGTTATTTTAAAATGTCGTAAGAATAAAATTATTGTAAACAACAAAGTGAAACTGTAAGTTGAATGTAGATGCACCTAAAACCTTAAAAATTGGTGAAAATTAAATGTAGATTTTTAGTGACTAAATTGGGAAAAAGTCTAACCAAAAATTGTTAATTTGTCAATCCTAAATTCTTTCTGTTCCTCTTAATCTCTCAAGCGATTCGTATCAACTTTGCATTCTTTATGCCCCCCCCCGCACCAAAAAACTAAAGCAAAAATAGCAACCCTGATCTCCAGCAGCATTCAATTCAATTTACCATTCAATTATCCTGAAGAAGGCTGAAGAATACAACTGCCAAAAAATGTATGTGTATATAAGACCCAAGATGAACTGGAAAATATAATACAAAATCTCATTTTACTTAACAATTGATTGCTGAAATGGTAGTATTTTATATGCCATCAAATAAGGTATTTTTTTTTTTTACAATGTTCACCTTATACAAGGCCCAAGAGTCACTCGAGGTAGAGTCACAGAGCAAACAAGTAAAAGCGAAGGAAGATTTTAGAAGGAACCAGAAACCAAATACTAGTGAGAAGTGTGAACAAGACAATAATTTTTATGTTTCTAGTGCATATGTAAAAAAAACAAAAAAAAAAAACAGCTTCTGTAGACAAGGATATTTTAGATTCTTCACTTGTGAGTATCAAAATTATTTTAGTTGAGAGATCAAGTGAAACATCTCTCCCACAGGGACTGGTTCAGGTGCCCATGCCACAGAGAAGCCAGTACAGGTGACCATAGTCCAGACATCTGCACCACAGAGGAGCCAGTTAAAGGCACTTGCCCTAGAGAAACAGTTTCTTCCAAGATTTAACTCTTAGCAGAAACACCTATTTCATGGCATCAATTGAGAGTAATCACGTTAACAGAAATGAAAATATATACTATGTTCCCTTAGAAACATCCCAACAGTGCTGCTCACAAGCATCCCAATATTTTCCCACTTGCTACACATTTCAAAGAAGAAAATCCTTACCAAATAATGATTCTGCCATCACTGCTGCCAGTGGCTAAACATTCATCGTTTGGGTGGCAAGCAATACAAGTGAAATAACTCTGGTTCGTTTGTCCATGGTGTCTAGAAATGAGAAAAGATTAAGTGAAAACTTTAATATTTTTTGAAATTTTTATTTCTAATTTTTTAGCCATTACAAGGACCAAGTGCCACTCAAAGTAGAGCATAAGTGAATAAGGTTGATGCATGCATAGAGGAGGTAAAAGGTTCAGATTATGAGGATAAGTAGGAAAGATAATGGCTAACCTAAAAGTGTAGTGATTGTGGAAGCATCCTCTTGAGAGTCTGTTCCATCTGTTTTTGTGCTTGGGAAGAACAGAGCTTTCTTCTTACAGAATACAAAGGGAATTGGGATGATTCACCTCTGTGGACATGGCCATATTATTACAGGTCTTATTTGTGAAGGTGTGAACTAGCTTGCTAGAATGTTTATCAATTCCAAGCCATTATCAATTACACCACACCACACATCCAAGCAGTCAACCATCTAGGTACTGACTTTTAGTACAGCCCTTTTTACTGCTTTTACTTGTGGAAATTACTGTGCACTGTTGGAAAGCAAGGACAAGTGGTAAATAAAGCCTTTTTTTTAAATTAAAAAAACAAATTAAATAAGAAAATAAAGCTTTCTTTTTAAATTAAAAAAACAAATTAAATAAGAAAATAAAGCATTTCTTTTAAATTAAAAAATAAAACAAATAATAATTAAGGTGCAAAATTTGCATGAACATTGAAAAGAGCATGATTCCTAACCCAAACTGTTAGGGTTAGGGTAACCCTCTTTGAAAAGAGCAAGATTACTACCCCTAACCCTAATGGTTAGGGTCAAAGTTCGTGCAAAGTTTGCGCATTAATTATTATTTGTTTTATTTTTAATTTAAAAGAAAAGCTTTATTTTATTATTTAATTTGATTTTTTTTTTATTTAAAAAGCTTTACTATAAAAAAAAAACACTTGAAAAAATAACAACACTTGTCATTGCTTTTCGACACAACTTAAGTGTGCAGTAATTTAGACAAGTAAGATCAGTAAAAAAAAGGCCGTTAATTAAGCTACTGCAGGCAAAGTGTTCCGCAGTGATTATATTTAAAGAAGGGCTGTAATGGCAGACAAATGAATGCAAATGAGTCTGAATTTGTATTGTTGATAACTACAAAATGGTAGGTTTTGTCAAAATTTGGTCATTATTTTTGAGTTCAGCATGTACATTTACATGGAAATATGATGATTTGGGAAGTTTTTAATAGATTTTTTTGTGTGGGACTAAATTTACTGCTTTTTCCAAGTTGGCCACAAAGAAGCTTTGTTGATCAAGCAAGGCTGAAATAATGACTTCAAGTGAAATACCTCTCCTCTGTCTAGGAGGACACCGCTTCAAATCCAGCTGGAGAGCGCATATTTTTCTTTAATAAGATTTCTTGAATTTTCAGGCCAGGAGACGAAAATAAATATATGGTTTAATAAATAAACAAAGCATCTAAATATGAGTACCCCCCAAAAAAAAATAATGTTTAAAGTGATAAAATGTATTTTACATATATGAATGTAAGCATTCATATAAATCCTGATCAGATTGTTCATGATAAAGACAATTATTGCAAAATATCTGAATTCAAATGGTTACTAAAAAAAAAAAATGATTTGTGTCAAACTTACCGGAAATTCTTTTTAGATGCTAAATCATTGATCTTCAAATCATGCTTTGTTACACAGGCCACGAATCGACCCTAAAATAAAAGATTTAATTTTGAAATGTGATTACAAAAAAAGAAAAAAGAAATAAAAAGAAAGAAGAAAAAACAAGTCAAATCACCAGCTATGTATCACATTAATAATGAAAGTAAACTCTTCAAATTCTTTTATACATATTCCAATCATTTAATGTTTTTTTTTTGATTGGTGGAGAATTTAGTTTTATTCATTTATGACATAAGACAATGCTTTATTTTTTAAGACATTTTTTTTTTAATGTTTATACGTTCTTTTTATAGATATAAATATTTAAGTAAATGCTCTGTTTATAATAAGCGGTATTAACAACATTTACCGGCCTGAATGTCTGAGAAATTTTCATAGAAAATATGCGTCTGTTATACTGGAACACACCTATTCTATAGTTAATAGACTCTCCCACCTATAATAAGTAAAAGTAGTAGCAGTCGCCAGAGGGCTCAGGGAGTTGGTCAGTCAGTTGATGTCGGACGACTGTTAGTTGGGTACTAAGAGTATCAGCGACCACCACTAGATTTCTCTGCGTCATTACCTATCATATCAAGTTCCTAACGTTTTGTACGTCGAACCTTTTTAGGACCGACTTAGTGAAATACAAGCCTCCACTGTGAAACTACTCTACAGGAATCGAACCTGTATCCTATACAGAACCGTCATATAGCCTGATGTACCTTAACTAATTGGGCCACAGAGGAGCGTTCGGTTAGCAAGGTCAATTTTACTGCTTTTTAAACACAATTCTGCATGATTTTCTTTCATACATTCATATTTGCTCAATGCGTATCCAAATGTAAACAAATGACGTCACACATTATGAAATGGACAAAGTCTGACAATTAATCATGGAGAATTCTGTGTCAAACATTATATTGTATTATCTCAAATTGACGAATTGGGTGCAACACTCAGTGATTTTTGAAAGAGAATTTTTTTTTTTCTTGAAAAATTACATCTTATATGGTGGGAGATATCGTATATTTATTCATGTTTAAATTACTTAGAATATGGAGGGTTGTCAAATCTGCTAAAAGACGAAACCAAAAGAAAAAAAAAAAGGTTTTCATTAAATTTGAAATGTTGATCCCTACAAATGAATGGCTCTTCTAAAAAGTTACCGCAAACATCATTAAAGTGCTACTTTTTAAATATACAGAATACTAATATGACAATAATTCACAGCTGATGTTCTCCAACTTGAAGGCTCACTTTGGTCATGGGTACATGGCTAGTCCTCACATTAGGGCGGAGTTACTTTGCCTTTGCTCAGCAATGTGGTATCACTGGCTGCATATCTAGATATATGGAGGCCAGCTTACCCCAATTGTGCTAGAAAAGTATTAAAGCTATAAAGAAGGTTCACCTGTCCTTTGATAGGTTTAGTTTTTATCATGCTAGAAGTCTTGTCCCCATCTTTAACAGAAAAGCCTGGTAAAAGAAACAGTTTAGTTGCTGATGACCAGTTGCTGATTACATACACGACCATATTTAGGCCTTCATGGGGGAGTACTGGATAGCAGCCCAGATTGAGGAATCAGAGAGCCAAATTTGAATTTTAGTCAAATCCATTACATTAACTTATGTGCTAGTACTCTTGGGAAAGGTATGAATCTTTTTCTTCTCTCCCCCGTGCCAGCAGGACAGACTGGGTTCTATAGCCTTGGATGGCAACTGGTCTACTGCAGAAAGAAATGGCAACCTACTGTGGGGAAAAAATCTGCCTCATCAGTCATATATCGAAAGATACATAATTGCCTAAGCATGTATCACGTATAGCACGTCACTGACTGATGCCCTTTGGCTAACAGAATTTGGGGGCCCCCTTCATTAAGTATGCTTGCCTCCCTTGTCTATAAAAAAAAATATTTACATTTTTAATTGATGCTTTTTTAGTGCAAAACATGAAACACTTTGACTAAATTTTTTAATGATTTTGGAAGTCATCCAAATTATTTCAGTAGCAACTTCATGGTATTTTTTATCCGAACTTTGAATCCTGCAGAAACGTATATAGAATGAAGGGCCTGTATGACACCGTAATGTTAGTATTCAAATTCAATAGCAAATCACTTAACATTAAGCAGCATTTATAAAAATCATAATTTACATTCACTGTAAAAAATACCTTTTGATTACAATAAGCTGATAATCTTAAATTAATTTTAAATAAAATATTTGGGATTGAGTGAATTTGATAACAAACAGCTGATAACATTAAACAGTTTATATAAAACTATGACAATTTACATTCATTGCTAGAAATAGCAGTATAAGAAAAGGCCTGAAATGTGGATTATAATAAACAGATAATTTTTAATTTAATTTACACAATGTGTTTGGGACCAATTGATTTTGATAACAGCTGTGATAAATATAAATGTTTTCCTCTGTATAATAAAATAAAAGCAAACCTTGAATCCAGCTCCAATACAATGTTCATCATTTAGGCAGTCTGTGATTAAAATATGAGGATGTTTGTCTGAGCCAATCTCCTGTGAAACCAAATCATAAACTGGAAAGAGAAGATCAGAAGTTCAGTTATCAAATGTTGGTTGAATGAAGATGAAACATCATTGAAAAGAGGGAATTATTTGGGACACAGTAATACTGAGGTAATATCAAAAGATCTAAAATATTTCATTATTCAATTTTTTTTTTTTTAAAGAAAAGGAAAAAGATGAGTAGATTAGACAAAATCCCATGATAATAAAACTGAAGATTTGGTTCTCCTACAAGTATTTTCATGGCAACTGTTCTGACGAGCTACTTTCGCTGCTTCCCAGACTACATGAATTTAAACAAGCTACCAGGCTGGCATCTCGGTCCCACCCTTTCACTGTCAAAACAGTTAACTATAACCATCTCTTCTTCTTGAACAGCTGGAAGTGCTGGAGTTTTTACTCCAGCACTTCCCGACAGTGGAACTCTCTTCCCCTTCCTTGCTTCCTCGATGAATATAATCTTCAAATACTCAAGTGTAATGTCAATCGACATCTGACACCCTTAGCTTGTCCCCTGTCCTTCTCTGTATCCTTTCCTCAAACACGCTTCTTTACTCTTTTTCTCAATCCCCTGTAAGCCCTTGCATGCTAGTGGCATGCCCGTCTTGCTTGGGGTGAATTGCCTTAAAAAAAAAAAAAAAAATTATCACAGCTCTCCACAACTACCTATTATTTGCAGCACTAGATAATATTTATCTCCTTACTATCCCTCCAAGTTCTTTTTTTGCTATCCATTGACACCACCTCATTAAGTTGGCTGCTCACTGTACACCTTTAATATGTACTGTGAGTGTCAAATTCTCCAAACCCTCTTTCCTCATTATGTATGTTTGAAATTTCAACTGTCTCTTTCTGATTCCAATTATAAGTGTCCTTTTTGTTTACACTTCTTTGTTATTGTCCACAGTATTCTCAGTTTCCTTGTGTAGAAACACATTTCTGTTGTCTCAAGTATCTTCTGTATTTATGAGGAGATTGTCCAGCATTCACAGATATAGAGGTGGACTGATATTATGCTGCAGTTCAATACTCTTTTACATTCTTTGAATTGGACTACTTTTCCATTAATATTAAATAGCTAGGTCATTTCCAGCCAGTTTTCATAATAGTTCAACACTTTTTTCTTTGTTTCTAATGAGAAGTTTCTGTTTCTTAATCCTTTGCTTAGCTTTTGGAAGGCATCTTTCACTATTCATTTGAATTTGTGTCACATTTTCCATTGTCTGTTAAAAACTTTGTTGTAACTCTTACATTACATGACCAAAAGCAGACTGCATAAATGCGTTTTCTATGCATTGACTTAATGCATACACCTGCTTTACGCAAAACAAAATTGAGAATATATCATGACCAGTCAGTGCTACACCCACTCAAAAATCAAAACCTTAATTTTGAGTCGACTAAAAACTATATATACCCAAATTCAAAGACACCATATGCAGATAATAAAATATAATAACAGTCATTATGCTATCCCAGTAGTAACTTATAGTGAAGTTGATACAACTGACACAAAATCAGCAAGAAAATAGAAAAAAAGACGTGAAAAAGATAGGTAAAAAACAAATGGAAGAAATAATAATGATTTAGTGAGACAAGCCTTACTAATTAGCCTATAACTGGTGGGGAGAAGTGGAGGTGGATTCATATCTTTCCCAAGTCCATAAGTGAATATAATGAACCCAATTGAAATCAGAACAATTAACAATTCGGAGCCATTATCCATTACACCACCTGCACATCCAAACTTACAGCACCTGGTATTTCCAAGTGATGAGCATGAATACAAAGTATATATATATAACCAGGACTGTGAATGTAATGCAAGATCCCACCATACTGATCTTTGGTCCAAATGACCCAAGGAGTAGCTTGAACTCTGCAAATATGGAATTGTGACAATGGTGGATTGTCTTTGTTTAAATTTTGATATAGGATTGAGAATATAAAGTATGGTTAGTTGCAAGAGAAGAGAAATCGAATCAAGAACCCTGATACTTGTTTGAGTTTTTCTCTCCCCAATTGCTCTGTAAAAACCCATAGTTTCAACAGGAATACTTGAACAAGAATCATGCCCTGATGATGATGATGATGATGATGATGTTGATCATGATTACAAGCAACAACAATGTAACATATGCAGAGAAGATAGAAGCTGGCTGACCTTATACTTGGTCCTCAAAGTAAATATTTGTCCTTTATATTTGAGCCTATAAGCATTGACTTAGTTTAGGGATAGGTAAATATTGGTCATTTATGGAGGAAAAAAAAAATAAAAAAATAAAAAGAAAGCATATTGACAATTTCTCAATTTTTGAAATGAAACACTAAATTAGGAAAAATGCTATGAACCTATTACAGTAAAACAATGTCAGATATGATCTTCAAAAATTTAAATGCAGTGTCAATTGTAATCTTGTGTCTTTCTGAATCCCGTTTTTTTTTTTTTTTAATTCTTTGTCTAAAGCAGGAGATCATCAAACTATTTTTTTTACAGAGGGCCAGGTAACTGAATGACGAGTGTGGGCCGGATAACCATTTTGTTCAATACAATACACTGAATGCACAAAAAATAAAGACAACAAACATACTTATTTACTAAAATGTTATCCAATGCGGCAACAATAGCAATAAAATAGTTATATCATACCAAGTGCACACATATCTGAATCTCACAAACTAAGCAGCACAAAAGTGAGATTTTTGAAACTGGCGTTTACCTTTAAGATATAATTAATATTTGTTTTGGTATTACAGCATCCAACCAAAAGAAATGCTTTCTGATGTTCATCAGTCAACCTTGTTACATGTGCTGACTTTACATACTTTAGATTTTATAATAAGTTCAGGCAAAATATGACATAATTTGCTGAAGTCAATTCTTTTTACATATTGCACTCTTCAAACCAGTTTAAACACTGCAATGCAAGTTAAAACATAATTGCTGCAGTAGGTTCATAATTGCTTTTCTTAGAAACTTCATTACAGGTAATTACACAAAAAGTGCTTGGATATCAAAAGTTGCCAATTTTTTATGTCACTGATTTTCCTAAAACTTATATTACTGTCAGATGCAAAAATCAGATTGACCAAATTTTGGCATTTTACTTACATTTATTTTAGTTTTTCTATATAGTAATTTTAACTACAATCTACTGATAATTCCATATAAATAATTATAGTTTAGCTCATTTGTGGCACAGTGAATCAGCAGGCCTATGTAGCAACATTGAGGGCCAGATCCAACTCGCAGGCTGTAGTTTGGTGACCCCTGGTTCAAAGAGTGACAAGTTTATACATTGTATAAAAAAAACAAAAACAAAGAAGAGTAAAACACAGAGTCTGAAAACAGAAATAAAGAGAAGGCGAGAAAAAGAGAGAACAGTGTTTCTGTTAGATATCTAGTGATTCTTGACAAAAGTCAAAGAAGAACCTGCAATGTTATTGGTCCTGATCTGGCATCCCTGTTTCAATTATTTTTCCCATTGCTGTAATATATCTCTGTATTCTCTGTGTCTTTTCTATAAATATTTTCAAGGCAATTGTTTCAATGAGATTTCCTCTTTAGTACCTCAACCATATGAATTTAAGTTTAGTACAAGATTGGCAACTAGGTCACATTATTTTACCATTGAAATCGGTAAATGTAACTGGGAATCCTATTATAATAGTTTTTTCTCTTTTTGTTTTTGAATCTTGGTTTTTTTATTGTCCTCTCACCTCAATAATGTTTTTCCTTAGTTTCTCTCACTCTTAGTAACCCCTTGTGTCTTAGTGACATTATCACCTTGATGGGGTGAAATGATTTAAAAAAAAAGTAAAATAAAAAAGGAGGAGGAGTAGAGTGAAAGAGAGAGAGAGAAAAAAAAAATCAGTGTATTACTTACCAGCTCCCTTTTTCCTCAAGAAAAAAAGCATGTTTTTTGTGTTGCATTCAAGAAAATTAAGCATTGCATAAACTGGAGTACCCAGTGTGAACCTCTGAAAAAAAAAAAAAAAAAATAAAAAAAAAATAATAATAAATAAATAAATAAAAAAAAAAAGAAAAAAGAATTTCTGGCAGAGAGTGTTAACATTATTTACAAGTGGACTATTATCCTCATCTTTATGGTTGTTATCATAATGTTTCAGCTGCTCTGCTCTCTGGCTTTCATCAGACGCTTGCCAACCTGAGTAACACACAGGGAATTTCCAACTTTATTTAATCTATAGGGGTAGATTTTTCATGTTCCACTGCCAACATCTAAAGATATATTGTCTAATTCTTACTGAGCATTACTGAATTATTGCTTGCACCACTTCCACTAAGTCCAAGAACACTGCCCAGACCAGGGATCGAACTCACTAATGCTCTAATCCATAAGGATATTATTCCATGAATTAAAGCGTTGGTAAGGAAAATTGGTGACATCGTAATTGTGAGTTCCCAGTTTTCCAAGTTTACTGTGAATTCTATTTCCCTATACAGTGAAATCTTAATTTAATAAACTAATTGCAAGCTGTGATTTAAATGCTGAGATATTTAGCACTTTCAGAACAGAAAATGGATTCATTTTAGACAACTAAGCAAACTCATTTTAAAAGATTTTTTTAAGCCTCAATATGCAAAAGATTTATATCCTTTAATTTGACTGATTTGTTTTTACGGGTTATCAATATTTTGCAGGTTGATTATATTTTGCTTTCCAAAGTGCATACAACGAAGACAATTGGAATTGGAACTATGCTCTCTGATCTTCAAGCCGTTATTCATTGCTCCCTCCATGCATCTAAGTTTACAGTGTCTGGTATTCCCAATAGGTCACCCAACTAGGTACTGACCAGGCTTGATATTGCTTAACTTCAATGATCGTATGGGAACTAGTGTTTCAGTGTGATATGACTGTAAGCCTTGTCCTTTAACCCCCTAGTATACAGCATGCCCCATAAATAATGGTGCTCAAAATGGCAGAGTATACAAGGGGCTGATTACAGGAGGTTGAACATTAAGAGCTGAAGGGTTAGACATGATTTCCTAAAATCGTTTGACTTGTCTGGGTCCCTTGTAGCCTGATTTCCAGTCCTCAATCAGATCACCTTATTTACAGATAGCTCAAATGATCTGTCCTATTATAAAATAGCGTCACTTTTCCTGCCCATAACCCTTCAGCATTCAACATGCTCAAACCTGACCCATAAAATCTTACTGTTTGCATGACTTTGTGTTATTTGTGATGATGTCATCATATATTATAGTAGAGTATAAATGGGGCGGGTTACGGTAGGATGAACATTTAGAGCTGAGGGTGGGTTGAATAACAAATGGTAGATAAGAATTATCAAACTAAATTATTTACATTTGTGTAACCATGTGGTGTATTGGATGATGGCTTAGAATGAGAAACTGGAGAGCTGAGTTTGAAGTCTAGTTGTGTTTGCTATATTCACTTCTGTGCAAACCACCTTGGGAAAGATATGAATCCATCTTTTTTCTTCTCAGCTATGGGTAGAATAGCAGGACATAGTTGATTGTATAGCATTGGGTGGCAAACAGCCTACTGCTTTGTCAGTCATGAAAGAAAAGAGACATACTCATCCATGCTTCTTAATAAACAAAGCAACCGCCTGCAAATTACAAAATGAAGAGATCTGTGATTACTTCCAAGAAGCATGGAACCTAGAGTAAGAGCCTTAGCCAGTAAGCACCAAAGTCAATCATTGCATTGAAAACAGAGATAACCTAAGTTTTTTTTTTTTTTTACAGACTGTTACAGCTATTAGTGATTAATAATACTTTATGTTTAAAAAAAAAAAATTCAGTATTGTTATTGTTTAGGTAACAAGCCTTATAACATAGCTACAAATAGCTACATTATAGAAAAAAGAATTTTCCACAATATATGCATTTTTTACGTATTTATGGTTATTATTTTAACTTTTATCAAAAACGATTTTCTTGTAAATGTAGTTATGGATAATATTATACATTAATTACTAATTTTTTTAAATTAATAACTATTTGTGCTCAGTTGTTGACATTAATAGCTATCTGCTGACCTGTTAAAATTTTAAATTTCATCTCTCTGATAGATGTTGTGATCTGTTAGCATTTGATTCATTGGCATTTATAATAGAAATGAAAACAATATTAAAATAATTTTTGAACTAATACCTAAGTGTTATCTAGCTATGAAATTTGAATTCAGTATAATATTCAAAATTTAATTTGACACGGTGGAGTGGGGCGTGGATCTGCACTGTTTATAAAAAGTGTGACAAAAGAGGGTGCTGGTTGATAAATACTGGTCTATCAGATATCATTTAGTTCCTTTTTTTTTCATGTTTCCATCACTTTTGTTATTAAATACCCCACACTGTGATAATGAACGAAAAAAATCAAAATATATTGTTCTACTCATCCACATTATCATAACTATTATGAAAAAGAATTTATCGAAGCTGAACATGTAATTTGTTACAACTACTGTGAAAACAATAAAATGTTAAATACAAAACAAAATAATAAGCTAAAATTTAATTTACTCTTTTACCTGTAATAACTGCCACAAAGAATACATTGGAGAAACCTCAAAGAATTAAAATAAAAGATTATATGAATACAAAAGATCCTTTACAAAACAACTCACTATATGCATTAGTTGCTGTCATGAGTCTGTCCATAATTTTGATTAAAAAAAAAAAAAAAAAAAAAAAAAATGCTACACTAATTAAAAGAGAAAGCCATTTACTAAGATGAAAATGTATAGAAAGTGCTTTGATCACCAGATCATCCACAACAAATGTGCACCCAGGTTCTTACAATATTTCACCTTTCTTGGTAGATCTTCTATTATCACAATGTGGGATATTTGGTAACAAAAGTGATGGTAATATGAACAAAAAACAATGGACAACAACTTTTTGAAGGAAAAAAAAAATAAAAATAAAAATAATTTCAAATTCTCAGCATCCCAGGATAAGTCAGAATAATGTAAATAATACCAGCAACAAACTCAGTCTAAATTTGAACTCAGTTTGTTCATTTCTCTTTACATTATGTGATTTGAAGAACTTACCTTTAATAAAATTCCATCATTGTAGTCCCAGAAAATAATTGCTTTATCCAAAGAACAAGAAATAACCTGAAATAAATTAAGACAAGCATAAATGATAAATTTTTCAGAATAATTGAGTGTGTGTGTTTGTGTATATACACATGTATAATGTTATACAATTAAAATAAAAAAAATATTTGTAGTGTTTCCAACATGGCCTCCATCAAATGATGACAAATTTCAGGTACAGTTAAATATCATTACCATTAACCCAAGGTACTCCAGCTATACCTGATTATATCAAGCATGTCATATACAGGTTGTAGCAAAAATACCTCCCATATAATGGTAAGAATTTTTTTTTTTCAAAATTCATTGCTGGTAATAATTTTTTACAAAAATATATTGCTGATATTAAAACCTATTTTTACACTTTCATAGTGTTTTGGCCCCAGTTTGTGGTTAACTATTTGCCCATAGCTAGGACCCTAACAGGTGCTACCACTCCAAGTCAAGGTGGACCTGGGAACACCAGCAAATAAGAGGTGGTTCGACATCCCTCAAAATCTCCTGATCAGAGGCCTTGCTGTCAGATGTAGTTTATTGTCTTACCCAGGATGCTTTCATTTGGAGGGTGTTGGTCTTACCCTCTGCAATCAGCATATTCTGAAGCCCCAGTCAACATGGCAGTATTTTTACTATAATGATTTATGCTTATACTCTCATAGTGTTTCGATTTTGTTTGGGCGTTAACAATTTGAACATAGCTGGGATCCTAACAGGTGCTACCACCCTGGGAACAACAGCAATTAAAATGTGATTCCATGCTCCTCAAAGCACCCAATCTCCTGATCAGAGTTCTTATTGCCAAATGTAGCTTACTTCCATACCCAAGATTAACCACACATTCTAAGAAATATGAAAAGAGGCATTGAATGAGAAAAATAGAGATGGTAATTTTTGCATTAACTGAAAAAGAACAGTTTTTTTTTTGTTTTTTTTACCTGCATTCTGTTGTTTGGATGAAACTGAACTCCAGTGACATCTTTGGTGTGTCCTCTTAAATTATGTATGCACTCAGCCGTCTTCATACTGTAAACTTTCACCACAGTTTTGGAGATGCAAATGAGCCATCTAAAAATAAAAAGGAATTGTTAAGATTTTTTATACAAATTTAAATATAAAACTTTCCTCATAATAAATGAAATGTTTTTCTCTTCCTAGTTTTTGAAATTACAATTAAGTGGAAGAGAAAATAATGACATAAAGATGTTGACATTGTCACTACTTCAAAGAAAAGTTAGGAAGGAGACCATCATTAATACTGGAAATGGTGATAACAACTGCACTTGAGAAATGTCTTTACCTGAAAATTTGTTTTAAGAAAAAATGTTATAAATTTCAATCAAAAGCAGTACTGACTGCTTGGTTAATGAATGTCGAATATTTCCTTATAAGGAAATGGCTAATATAACCATTACTATCAGAGATGAGCAGAACAGAAACTACACTTTGATTTCAGTTCTATAAGTAGAGTGTGAAGAAAAGCATAACTAAAATAGCACTGACTGCTCAATCAATAAATGTCAATTGTTTCCTCATAAGGAAGCATTTCCATTACCATTGGAGATAAGAATAACAGATATTACATTTTAATCTCAGCCTAATGGCCAAGTAGTGAAGTGTAACTTGAGCAGTCAATGAATGTCAAATGTTTCCTTATAAGGAAGTGCCAAATATTACCATTACCATTTAATAAACTTGCTGCTTATGTAACTTGTGATATCACACAGAGCACTGTTTAAAAAATATGTCAATTTTCGTTCACTTTAATGATAACATATAACTGCTATGAATTGGGAATCAGGATGTGTGCTGTGGTGTCATGGATGTCAGGTTGGAATGAGAAATAGGAGAGCTGAGTTTGAATTCCCGTCAAGTCCGTTGCATTCACATATGCAGAAATATCCTTTGGAAAGGTATGAATTCATCTCTTTTCCAAGCTATGGGTTGAATAGAAGGACAAACTGGGTTCTATAGCCTTGGTTGGCAACCGGTCTACTGCAGAATGAAATGGTAACCTAATGAAAGAGACATGATCACCCAAGTGTATAACATGTATGACACTTAACTGACTAGAAGTCAACTAAGGCAGAACCAAGTTTGAATGGTACAAAACCACGTCTAGAATTAGTTCATCATCTATTTTATCCAAAATTGTACTGCTTATAATGCATTTTAGAATTGGGAAAATTTTCAAAGAGGGGATTTTGTCTCTTTTGCTTGAGAACTGAACACAACGTTCCAACATCTGCAGCAGTCTTTTAACCGGGAATGTCAACTTTAAAAAATTTGCCAACTCCCGCAGATAATGTTCTGCCATTTTTGCTTGCTTAAGCCCACCAGTTATGTCATGCATTGCTTTCCCTTGTCTCCTTTTCTATTTGACCTGTGAGTATCAAATTCTCCAGACACCCCTTTCTCATTATGTGTCCCAGAAACTTCATCTACATCTTCCTGATGTTAACTATAAGCCTCCTCCTTGTTTGCATCCTTTCTAAGACCTCATCGTTGCTCACACGCTCAGTTCATGATATCTTCAGCATCCTTCTGTAGAGCCACATCTCTGCTGCCTCGAGTCTCTTCTTCATCTTTGAGGAGACAGTCCAACATTCGCTGTCGTATAGGCGGACAGGTGTCATGTAGCAGCTCAGTACTCTTTTGTCACCAAAGAAATCCTGTGTTGCAGTATGCTGTCCAACTTTTGGAATGAATTCTTGGCCATCCCAATCTGTATTTGGATCTCATCATCGCACATACTGTCCTCTGTTAAAACACTTCCCAGATATTTAAACATCTGCACATGCTTGATTTTAGTGTCCTTAACCTACGCATTTCAGGTGCATACTTTTACTGATCACCATGCATTCTGACAACAACATTTTTTAAAGATATATTTAATGGCAGATGCACTTTTAGCTAGTGAGAGAGCTATGGGTTGTTTAGTGATCCTGTTCTTCGGAACAGTATGCAATCTTCTCGATAGGATTCTTTAAAGGTTTTTATTTTTTATTTTTTTTTACTGGGTTACTGTGTGATTCACTGCCTTTAGTGGGTAGGTTGTCTTTAACCAGTGTCTGATGGGTTGCTGTTTCCTTCCCCCGACTGCGTGGGCCACTGCATAACCTCTTGTTTCAGTATCTCCAGTGCTTGTCAACAGCCCCTGCAACCATTCGTTCTGTGCACAACCAAATGTTCTGGCATCTACATAGCAGTTGTTCCTGCCATATACAATTGTAGCATCCCGCTACGACTTCCTTATCAATGTATAATTTTGTACATTTTTGTGCAAAAAAGTGGATCAGAGAAGCCTTCTCAACTTAGTAATTATTTTCAGGAAATATCAGCTTCTAATTGGTCAATGCCAACCAATCAGATTGTCTGCACGTGAAGAATAATTCTTTCTGTGCAGCAATCTTGATCCTATCACGTGATTACATTATCTATAAATAGAAAACACAAGCCTATTGCTTTCTTTCTCTCTTCTTGCTGCAAGATGTAGTCCCAAAAAATACTTGTCTCGACTATGGGCAGTCAGACATTAAATAATTATTCACACATTCACATACGTATGAACTTTTATGAACTTTTCCAACCTTCTCACTCACACACACCACTCATATGCTGAACATTCCTTATACACTCACATAATCTTTTCTTACACAGTAAATCTTCCGAGAACAATTATTACAAGAAACTCTCAAACTTTTTTCCAGTGAACTTTGAAATACAAAAATAATAGTTAAAGAGAGACAACTCTTGTTTTATTCAACCTTTTCTTACTTAAATGCGTGCATTCTTTCACGTCATTGTTTGATATTGTACATTTTGTTAAATACATATTTTATGTGTAACAATGTCTTTTGCTTATCCTTTTCCACATCAATTTTGTTTCCTAATCTAAAGTTAAATTAATGTGGTGAAGTCCTCCACACAATCTTCTTCTGAGTTCATTGGAAGTTTACTTGCAAAGCAATCTCTCTGGTCATAGATCATTCTATTCCTGAGCAAATTAGCATTCCCCACACCCGGCAATCATCATCGGTGTACACCATTTCTTCTGCACACTCAGCTTACCTTCTTTGAACACTGACTGTTCTGGATTTCTTCTGTACATGTCTATGGACTCAGTTTACCTCCATTGAACATGAATTGTTTCAGTTATTATCAGATTATTCTCAACTGATTTGACATATTCTTCTGCCCAACATCATTTCCGGTTATTTGTGTGAATTAACTCTTCTGGTCAGTATTATTCATCCTATCAGCCTTCTCCTATCTATACAATACTGACTTTGTGTAATTTACCAATCGTTATAGTTTTCTCATCATCAGTGCTACATAATCTTTTTCTCCAACCTACTTTGAACATTTCTCATTGCTAGATTTTGAGGTCTACACCACTGTTTTTTCTGGAAATCTTTTCAACATAAACAAAATGTATTTTCTTTCTAGGATTTGTCTTATTTGCCAAGAATAAATTTTGGCATATTTTATTTGAATTCCTCATTTTTGTTGTCCTTGCCTTTGACCTGTCAAATCATGGAGTTTTATTTTTAAATTGTTAATTTGATTAAAAAACAACCCAGGCCAATGTTACTGCTACAAAAACAAAAGTTTGGAGAACTTATTTTTTGATTGATAGTAACAGGAAGGAAAAAAAAAAAACACAAATGTGTTTCTGTAAAATTACTAATAAAAATTCATTATTAAATAAAAATATTTTCTGACTTTTCCCTACTGTGGAAAAATAAGTGAAATTACCTGTGTGTGTTGGGTTGCAGTCAGACGTGGGAGGCGGAATGGTTGCCATGGTTTGTTTTTCAAAGTGAGGCTGCTCTGAGTAGTGGTTTTTGTAATCTTTTTACTGGAAGAGGTGGGATGTGCAGGTCTGCCTTAACTTTTTTTTTTTTTGTGAGAGGGACTTTACGAGAACAGGGTCGTTCTGCAGATTCTCCTCTTCTAATTGAACCCAGACTAAATTTTGAGTCGCAAAACTAGGCAGTGTTTTTTTGTAACATTTACTGTACCAGACTGGCTTCTGATTTACTCTTTGAGTTGAAAGAAATTTTCGACACTACCGCTACGCTGAACTTTTTCTACCCTAGCAAAGCATGCCCTCCGACTTTTCCACGCTAGAATCTGTAGTGTAAAACAACTACGTTTATTTGATAATCATAAGATTTTAATGATGATTATCTTTTTTCAAGTTGGAAGGAACAAAAACTCTAACCAGAAAATTTATGACAGAAAACAAAATCGAAAGAAACGGATCAAATATCCAAAACCTGACAATATTTTGATGTGATAATGAGTTATCCTGGCCATTAAAGCAAAAAGAAACAAAATAAATCTCTAAATTTGTGTAATAAGGTAATAAGTCACTTACAAAAAGAAATTTATGAACGAGTTGAAAAATAACGAAAAATTTCAGTAATCATCTACAACACGTGGCAATATTGACAACCCCCCCAAAAAACGATGCAATTACATAGAAAGTTATAATCAATTTTCATAAAATAATTTAATTTATTTATCATTATAAAGAAGATGAATTTAAAGATAAGATCTCATCATAAATGTTTACAATTGAATGAATTATTAATCTGAATTTTTAAGTGAAGAAATAATTACGTTCGGTTATAAACAAACCATTACCATTTTTGCATTGTGATAATCAATTACTAAGTACCAATTAACTTATATACTATAGTAGTCAATAAATTAGTTGGTATTTATTTATTAATTAATGTAAACGATGATTATTTCTAATAATATTATTTGCTACAAGACGAAATTTATGAAGTGGGAAAAGTTTTACTTTTTTTTCGTCCAATGAAGTCGGAAATGAAACGAATCAAACGAAAACTGTGTCATACTTCTTTCCTCTAAAATTGTTCTTGAAAATAAATTATATATATATATATATATATATATATACTGACATCTTTTTAAGAGAAATGTTTAAGAAATTCTAAAGTCAATAACTAAGTTCAGAAAAATGAAAAAAACAGTTACAGGCGTTTTAAAAACGTCTCTAATCATTGTGAATTAAAAAAATAAAAACAAAATCAAAATATGTATAAAAATAAGATTTAAATTCATAGAAAGTTTTAAAAAAATAGTTATATTCAAAGATTTGTTGAGGAATCTCAAAATAAAAAAAAAATTGAAATCAGTGAGCTGTTCTTCATTCATTGGAAAAGGCAAATGTTCGTTAGAATTGCAATTCGGGACGAATAAGTAAAAATAGGCATGTGTGAAACAATGACTATAATAATTAATTGAATTAGAACGAAATACTTACTTTGAATCGTGCGAACAAATCGGCCGAAAGCCAACAAAATATCCTGAGCCGACACTAACAACAGACATAACGACAAGGAGAAACACGTGCTCGGAAAAATATTTCGGAGTTTTAGAAAGACAAGTATCTTACACGGTCCTCAACCGAATTACATTAAAACCACTATTTTGCAAGATTCTTAAACGAACAACTTCATACAGCGTTAATATAAGCCGGGTCCAGCTTACAAAAAATACTTTGTTATATGATAAATAAATAAAAATTAGAATGGGGGACACATACTTCTTCTATGTGTCATGTCCTTTCAGGACGTGGGGGGATCATAGCTTTCTACAATTTTCTGCCTTTGTAGTTCTTGGAAGGAGCATAACTGAATGGTGGGTATTTTTGGTGAATTATTTTCTTTGTAGTGAGTCCCGAGATAAATAAAAATATAAAAAAGTAAAATATATAAACAAAAATAAAAAAGAATTAAAATTAAACTAAGGCACTTGCGCTTTGCTTTAAAAACCTTATCTCTCTCTTTATCTCTTTCTCTAAACTTCTCTTTCTCCACTTTTCTCTCAGCTAACGAGAAGGCAACCCTCAAATCCGGAGGTTTTCAGGAGCCGAGCCGACTTATTTGTGACAAAAAAATACCAAAAATCAGGGAAAAAAAAAAAAAAAGAAAGGACGCCGGAAAATAAAATGATTTGGCCAATCAAAAACATTGACACAAAGACACCTTTTGATGATTAGCCGAAACCAAAGTTCCCACCATAAACTCTTTGCCTATTCAAATGAGTATAAAAACTTTTAACAGTCTGACTTCCAACTACCGAAACGTACATTTCTTCAAGCTTCTATCAAGATCCGCTTGGTTAACGAACTTTTTGCTACGCCGAATACCAAAAACTCGCTCATTACTCTTGAAAGAAAATAAATATTATTTATTTTTAAACCCTTGAGTCCATTTTATTCCCAGAGTTTCCGATAAAATAATTATCCACATAGACAACGTTCATGAAGTGAACCCATAGGCCACAACATAATTAATTTACTGTTAGCCTATTCATAAAAAAGGGAACAGTTTTTTTGAAAAATTATTGATGGTCAATAGCATTATAGAGACCTTCCCCAGATAGCGACACTTGTCAGAATAGAAAATATTGATTTTTTATTGTTTTAGAATTGCGGTCCTGTTTATGATATCGATACAATGATTTTACAGAGGTATTGACTTGATTCCAGATAAAACAGACACAAATAAAAAACAATCACGACCGGAAAAAAAAAAAAAGAAAGAAAGAAAGAAAGAAAGAAAGAGGACAAAGTTAGCATAGAGTGAACAAACCTAGGGAACAAACTCCCAACCACTTATTCCAAAAGTGAAGAGAAACTCAGTTTCATAAATAAACTGAAATAAATTGAAAATACAAAGAAATTGAAATTGAAATTTTAATATCAAATTGAAATTGTCTTCGCAAATGGTCGGATCTTCTAGAATATTGGGCGTCACTTTGAAACATACATCGGAACAAGATCCGCCATCATTAGTGCGACAAATGTGTACATCGGTAACAGTAAAAAAATCAATTTTCAATTATTATGGTTGAACTGAAGAATGTTTTGCCATACTAATCGAGTATTAAGTATGCACAAATCGAATTTTGGTATGTAAAAAATTTAGCTCGCTAATCGAAAACGCATTAATCAAATGCACATTAATCGAGGGACGCCTCTATGTTGTAGAATTCAGATTATACATAGTTCTCAAAATCAGCACAACTAAAACATAATACAGGCTCCAAACTGAGTTTTTGCAAAGACGTTTTCTGATTGGTTAATAAATTTTACGAGGCAGCTGTCTTTCTCGTCAGGATCTGATGCGATTCTATGAGCGTCAGCTCAAGATGAAGATTAGAACTGATAGAAGACGTTTGGTTTCGACAGACTTTAGCGAAAGGTGAGTGACTGAGGCGAGCTTGGTTCGTGTGAACGGGGCTAGCCTTTATTTTCTCTTTTAGTTCTACCTATTTCACATTGGGGTGTTTTCCTGGTTAGGCTAGACAAGCTTTGTGTACCTAGTTAATGTGAGTAAGTATTGCTCCCGGCTACATCTTTGGTTATGGTCCAAGTTGAGATTCCTGTAGAATCAGATTCTTACATTTATTGTTTTAAATCTCAAATTTCTGGAAGTTAAACACATAGAGGCTCCCAAATGTAGTGGATGGGTTAATTATTTTGCTAAATACTTGTTGAGAATAGGCTGCGTGCTAATTAACGATTTCCACTAACATCAAAAATCTCTATGTTCATACATAGAATAAGATACAAAACTCAATGGAATGATTTCAAAACATAACAATTAGATTTATTAATGTTTGATGTACAAGCATGCGAACTGAAAAGGTAGGACAGAGTCGTGTCCCTTTGATTTGGCGATATTTGTACCGGAGTTCATATTCAGAAGAAGTAATATTGAACTTGTAATTTAGAAGAATAAAGTTTGGAATTGTGAGTTCTAAAGTTGGTAAAAGTTCAGGAGTGATTTCAGAGGTTGACGAGTGAGTGCGTTTGAGTTGTTTCGTGTTAATAAATTTAACTTTGCAACTTCAAAACTATAAGTGACGTGGAGTAGTTTAGCGATTGGTATTCGTCACGAAGCTCACTGGTAAATTTGTGTTCGTGCATGTTGGTAATTGTCTTTAACGTCTGGTCAGCAATGACTAAGACGGAAGTTGGTGAAGGTTACATCTTGGCACTTGGTATCAAGGTATGAGATGTGCGAGAGAGATGAATAAAAGGAAAGCTACTACTGCTCTTAAAAGTTCACACGTGTTCGGTTTATATAATGGTCAAGTGGCTCCTAGCGTATGAGCGGGAAAACAGATTGGTCGCGTGCAGGCGGTTTGATTGGTCGGAACTGACCAATCAGCAAGCTAGATTGGAGGTGATTGTCCAATGAATACTTGTTATATTCTATGAAAGTAGAATTTTACTTACCAGATAGGAAGAGTGCATTTCTTAAAAAGAGGTAAAGCTGGTTTGTTGTGGAAGATTCCACCCAACCAAGTATAACAACTGATGCATTCAATTAGGTGTTGTCAACTACGTCCGAAGGTACCGACCCAAATTTTGACCTTGAGTTGACGCCACAAAATGTAAACATGTTCTCGATCCTCCACGTGACCAAGAGAACTAATAAAAACGAAACTTCGATGCGACTTGGTTAGTGGGCCCTTAAAATATTCAACTCATTCACTTGACTTCATTGTAAATCGGCACAACAACAAAGGAGACGAACCAAATTCCTCAACGCGACAACGAATCTTCTCACCAATTCCAGGCTTAACGTTAATTACTTAAATTAACATAAACCCAGCTTGTGAAAGAACACTCACTCCAACAAGATATATTATTCCACAACAAACATCACCGGTAAAAGAGCGACAACTCTGTAGAAATCATAGTGAGTCAAGAACAACACTTTTTAAAAAAATTTAATACAGAAAACAACTGTTTAATTTTCCTTCAACGACAAATATACTTAAGCACATCTTCTCACTTTCATATAACGCACAATCAAGAACTCTAAAGTGTTTTAACAACTTTAGCATCATATATTTTGTATTTGTTGTGTTTTATGAAAAATATTTATTGTTGAACAAATTCTTCTACTTGATTATTTCTCTTGTTGTTGTTGTCTTTGTTACATTTGACATAGTAAAAAAATAGTAGAGGGTCAGTTTTATTTGTATTTATAACCAATACAGATTGGCTAACCCACTATATTCCCAACCTCCCCATTTTGTTTTTGACCTCCCTTTCATCTCGACTGGGTCAGATTTATTTATTCCCCATGTCCGTAAATATTTCCACCTTTCCCTCTCCCTTAGCGAGAGAGTCTCTTGATTCTGTCGTAGAGCAGAATACAGCGACCTCTCTTTTTTGAGGGTTGGACGGGTCCTACTAACATCAGTTTATTGGGCTTGTCCATTAGCCCAATCTTACCTTCTTCGAGTAATGCACTGTTCCAACTTTCATTCGTAAATCTAGCCTTCTGATTGTTTCATTTCTACCAATCAGGTCGCCTGCACGTGCATTTCGAGGTTTTGGCGCAAAATCGCTCTGGAGCCACCCCACGTGATCATGACCTCTTAAAAAGAACCCAAAGCACGTGTGACCAAGAGAGGCAGACGGAGACGCAGACCTGGGCAGATCAGCAGCAGACCATTTTTCGACCGCTTACTCAAGCTCACAAATGTGACGACTACAATTCACCGTCTCGCTAGTCGAGACGACAAATCTTTCCTGTTCAATATCTTGTACGAACTTCTTCGTCATTCAAGAATCTCAAACCATACATTCTCTTTGACCATCTACGATAAACCAGTCAGTAATTCGCCTTCAGAGAGATTCCACACAGATCCACGCGTGTCTACATTTTGACTTGAGAACTTTTCGCGCGTCAACTCCTGACTCAATTACCAACATCTTTCTATCTCTCTAAACCCCATTACAGCTTTCTTAAAAAGTGTTAATTACACTACGAAACAGAAATTATAATGCTAGCATAAGACAAAAGAAAATACAGTCCAGGGTGAACAACTCTGTCAGAACAAGGTTAACAAATTCAACTTAAATCTCACATACATTATTTTCAAATTTACTTCTCGATAAATTTTCCCTTGGTATTACAATGTGAACATTTTCTCAACAATTGAACATTGCTGAACTTTATTTCATTTAATATCCTTGATGCAAACTTCGTCAAATGCATAACATCAATACACAACCTTTTCCCTATTTGTAAAAATTGTATATAAATCTTCGATATTTTCTAGTTGAATGCACATCCACCGTTTTTTCTTGTTCATTTTTCATTGAGTTTTATTCGACTTATACGTCTATGCTTTTATTTGTTGTGATTTATGTGAAGAACATGCTTTCAAACTCATCACGCTAGCAACTAAAACCTTCTGATTTCACACTCAATTCATAGCGATCCCAACAAGTTATTTTACCTTGTTTTGATATTTAGTTTGTTTCTGGGTTCATCCTCTCCCCTCTTACTGAAAATAATCCATAAAATTTATGTATAAATTTC